CTTGCCAGTCAAGACATCAAGGGTTGTGCCTACAAGATTTAGTGAACTTCTCATGCTCCACAACTTACGAAGAGCACGAAGAGCTGCAGCCTCATATCTAGAATCACCCGTCAAACGTGATAATGCACCCATTTCAAGAATCAGAGAACCTGTAAAAATGTATATTACAAAATAGTAAGATATAACTAAGAGTAATGCATTTCCCCTGGAATACAGTAGAACATTCTATCACCCACCACACCCTGATGTGCTTGTCTCAGTTGTTTCATTTTCCATCACTCCATACTGGAAAAAATAGTTACATGGTCATGGAATTAGAAGAAACTCTCGATAACATATAATATAGTAAAATTATAATACACGACTTGTGGAAAACATTTCGTGGTTGTAGCTTGACACTGATGTTCTTTGCAAGACTCGTACTCATTCAGTCATTTGTTTTTTGGCATGAACTGAAGCATCCTGATTGGTTAGTTCTTCTAAAGTAGTTATTATCAATACTGTACATGATGAGCATCACTGATTTAGCTAGAAATATTCCTTCTGTAAATTGGAGTAAAAACTAAACGCATTTCGTTTGCTGAGCTGTGAGCTATTGCCTCCAAAACCCAAAGGTTCCTTTCTCAATCTGATATCTTCTACGATGGTTTTCAAGTAGCCTTGCGTAAAAATACAAACTGAAATTTGCCAGTATTAAAATTCTAATATTGCCTACCCTGATTAACCACCTTTGAAATAGCAAGATCAGAGGATTTGTAAATGAACCTTAAGATTGATCCATGCGTATGGCAATCCAGTAGGTGTCTCAAAAGCTGGTAGAAAACGACTTCCTAAATTTTCAGCAAGATGTAGTAACTGGTCCTGATATGGTCCATCTTTAAGATGACTGCTGTGCTCCTTTGCAAGAATATGACCAGAAATAAGCCCCCCAAGAAGTCTTATGTTGCACTGCATAAGATTAAGAGAAAATGCATGTGTAACTCAGTGTCCTGAGGCCAACATGTCATTTTTAGGTGAAAACCTGTGGTAGTAACCAGCTAGCATTACCTCAAAAAGATTTATTCGAGCATCAACATCAAATGTTAGGTTCTCTGAAAGCCAGAGAACTCCTCTTTCAAACTCCGTGAGGTTACCTAAGACAACAAGACTGCATGAGCCAAACAGAGAGGCATTACCTATCAACCTTGCGAATAATAGTGTTTTCTGAAGAAACTATATCATCATTCACATTCTGAACAGCAAAGACAGAAGTACAGAACCAAATTCAAAGTAGTGAAAAACATTACAACTTCATAAACTGTACCTTGACAACGATTCGACTAGTGTAAGTGCAGATCCATTGTAATCATTTGGCAAATGTTCAAGCTACAAGTTGGAACAAAGTGATGACATCATGACCTGCTATCTCAAAGCTTTTAAAATTTCAATTAAAATTTGCAAACTTGTTGATACTTTAATACATTTAGGTTGCCAAGCTCACTAAGGGAGTCAGTGAAACTTTTGGTTAGAGGCTTCAATTCATCATGCTGAAAAGATAAAGAGAATAATGTTAGCTTGTACTATTTCATGTGCGTTTAATCGAACTGAACATTGTGTGAGAATTCTTAAGATAGCTGATGGACATACTGGAAATGCATAAGTCATATAGTTGTCATAAGCATGGTAAAACCTGAAAAGAATGGTAGTGAATCAGTAATAGAAAATAAACATTGCAAGACGCAGTAATGTGCAAATGGTGGATTAGGTGATCTAAGTATAGCGCCACAATACTAATGTATGATCATACTGAGCTGAGATCCTACCTTCGCATGCTTTTGTATGTGGATAGAAAATTTTATGCTGGCATTATTTTGTGCTAACCTTCATATGCAGAGCATTCAGGCTGAACACTTTGGTGAGGCGCATGCATGGTTCAAACCGTCTCAGTTTGAGACACCAAATATAATAGAATAACTTAAGCATCATAAATAACGCCAATGCTCCTAGGAGCAATTTTGTTTTCCCTGTTGGACAGTCAGGGCAACTATACTCTGCCTTGTAAATGCAAAGTTAGACTAGATTTTCAGCATTTCCCTATTTTACAGAGTTAATGCAGTGATTTGTTGATAAAAGGTTCAGGAAATACCTTGGTAACTCGAGATAACATCAGATAAACAATACACCAACCAAAGCAATCCTTGGTAACTCGAGATGACAACTTTCTCATAATTGTTTTATAACATGAAACTTTTTAATACTTAACAACTTGGGCACACACACATTATCCAATCAAAAACCCCATTCTCAATCCTTCTATAGCAAACCCGTGCCTTCTTTACAATTACAGGCTTAAGTTCGAAGTGGGGGCATTCGTCTCAACACATTGAACAAAGCTTTGCATCCTTTCAACTAAATTTACGACGAATTTATCGTAGACCTCGCGAACAAGTGGAGACGAGGCTTAACAAAAGTGCGGAGATGTCTTCGTTCTCCGCGATGTAGCCACAACCAAAAAGAAAAAAAAATCTAACCAATCGACCGCGCAACGAAAGAGAGAAAAGTCAAGAGAGCATCTGAGCATGTAGCTTATGGCATGTCGAGCACACTCACATCTCCAGGACCTTGTTCCTCATGTACAGCCTCCTGCCGCGCCCGTACCCATCGCCGGCGATGGCGGCGCCCGCCGCGGCTCCCCCGGCGAGAGCCGAGAGGAGGACCGCAGCGGCGACGAGCCGCGCCGGCACTGGGCGGCGCGGCCGGGGAGGAGGTCGCATGGGGTTTTCGCGCGGGGTGCGGTGCCGTGGGGCGTGAGGATGGTGTTGGATGGGGATCGGGCCCGGGCGAGTTCGTTCGATCCGAACCAGACAGCTCGTTGCTTCCGAGATTTTGCTACAGGGCACCGGTCTCTCTCTCTCTCCCTCTCTCCCTCTCTTTTTCCGCGAGGGTAATAGTCTGCCACAGAAAAAGGTAGGGAAACGCTATACTCGCTCCTCCGTAAAAAAAAAAAAAAAAAACTCAATCTAAAATTAAGATGGTACATAATCTACTATAAACATGTTCAGATTTATTGTACTAGATTATGGCCATGTTTGGTTCCATGGACTAATTATTAGCCCCCACCTTTTAGCCCTGAATTAGGGCTCAAGAATCCAAACAGGTGGGCTAATTTGAGGCTAAAGTGAATTAGTCCTCCTCAAAACATTAGCCTCTCCAAGAGATGCTAATGGGGTTAATTTTATGTAAGGACCATAAAAAAGCAGCTATCTCTCCTCTCTTTCTACTCTCTCTCCACCTTTTAGCTTTGAATTAGCCCATGGATCCAAAAATACCACCCTAGACTAATGTTTAACCTACCAATTCATGACTAAACATTAGCTCTCAAAATTAGCCATGGGCAAATTTTCCAAACAGGGCTAATTAAGTACTTTTGGAGACGGAGTGGCCGGAGACGGAGTGGCCGAGTGGGTACTTCCTCTCTACCAAAAAAAAAACAATATCTTTCACAACTACACAACTACAGTACATTATACTGTACATATTCATTTTCTTAAAGTTGATCTTAGTGAAAGTTAATATTTAATGAAATATATACGTGCTAAAAAACTATACTAATATATTTTCGAAATTCATTATGCTCCATAAGGGGATGTGTTTTTTCTTATTACACAGTAGATGCATACACACACCATTATACAGACAACATTGCGCTCACACACCGGCGAACTCTTTGCATGTCATGTAGATGTTTATGAAAATTAAAATTTGATAACATAGATAATTGTATAATATATTGCTCAGGAAAGTATTCTAAACTCTTGAGGTGAAAGTTTAAAGTCGACCTAACCAGTTGAAAATAAGCGAATATAACTATGAATAATGTACTTGTATTACTCATTGTGTAATTTATATGTTTGTTTGTTTCTTATTCTATATATTACATCTCAATTGGCCTTTTCGAGAGTATCAATATTGTTAATCTTTTCAGACTTTTATAACTATTTGATTGGTGTTTTTTTGACTTACAAGACGAACAAATGAGAAAAAAAAAAGTTCCCCCTAATAAATAGTAGTACTCCACAGTTCATAAATATTTTCTAGTGTTGACCAGAATAATTTTAATTATGATCATTAATATTTTTGAACTGTCTAGGCTAGGATGATCGAAAGGTTAACGATTATTATATTTAGAATAGGACACACCGTCTTTTAAGAATTTTCAGGTCTCTTATACAATGGTATATTACATGTGTTGTGTAAACTGTTGTGGAACAAGATATATGATCTCATTCATATATATGGATAGATCGGCAACCAACTCAGGGACACGACAGTTGTGTCATGCCCCACGTCTTCTCACTCTCGTGGCGATCCTGGCAATGGGCGCAATGTTTCTCAAACCATCGTGTCTCCAGTTATCGCCTCTCTCTCCCCCCTATATATTGTAACCACTGTGATCGATAAAGAATCGCTCGCTCATTCGCTCTATTGTGTCGTCAATTCTCTCTCGCTCCAATCAATTTCATCCACTTTCAACATAAACCTTGTGCAGTTAGCATTGTGCCGCCTTAGGAAATACAGTGACGCAACTTCTACAGAAACCAACCAATCAAAAGAACGTGCACATTCTGACGTGGATGTATTGCAGGCGACAATGGTCTGGTCTACCAGAGGAAGTATATAAGTTGCCACATCAGATTTGTGCTTGCGTGGAGGAGAGATGAGAGGAGAGAGAACATAAGCGGGCTACAGATTTGTAGCCAACTGCAGCACGAGCTCCAATAAATTATATGAGAGAGATGTGTGGATTATACATTAATGATGTAGTATATTTCTGCAGCTAACTATTGTATGAGTGAACTATATTAGATTGACTATAAATAATGTTTTAAATTTTGAAGCTAGTAGTGAGCTATATTATTAAACTTGCTCTCATGAAAAACTTTGATTTGTCCATTTGAACTAATATCATTTTGCCTGGTGTGTCATCGAAAAATACTTTGTCTTCTAAACAATGGTTTATATTGCTACAAACTCAAATGGAACTTTGATTCAAAAGCAATGTGATACAGGAGAAATCAATCCAGAGAAAGGGGAAAAAGAAACAGCTTGTACAAATAAACAACACGCACGCACATAGAGAGTGACCTCCAGTTCTCGTACGAGCAGAAATTAAATTACTGAATCGAACAGGAAACTCGAGTACTCGACACAAATCTAGCTTATTCACGAATGTTAACAAACCAACGATGAAAAATAAGTCACGCACGCAAAACAAAAAAATACAAATACAAAAACGAACGAAAAACAATCGATTTAGCGAATCACTTAATTATGATATGACGATCATATCGTCCTCGTAAACCGGGCGCGCGCGAGCGGGCGATCGATCGATCGATCGATGGATCGGATCAGATCAGATCAGATCATCACTTGGGCATGGGCCCGTGGTTGTAGGTGTCGCAGCGCCGCCTGATCTCGCCGGCGGCGCCGGTCTTGACGCCGAAGAGGCTGAGCTTGTCGATGGCGCGGGAGAAGTCGTCGAAGAAGGCGGTGGGGTTGGACGCGTAGAGCTTCACGAACGGCTGGGTGCGCTTGTCCGACCACATCTCCTCGTCCGTGGCGAGGAGGCCGAGCCCTCGCTCCAGGTTCACGAAGTACATGTTGTCGAACTTCCCGGGCGTCATCACGTCGTTGAACGCCGCGATCGTCGGGTCCTTGAGGTACTCCTTGCACGCCGTCTGCAAGCCCTTGCTCAGCACCGGGTTCATCGTCGGGTCCACGTTCCCGGGCTTCCCCTGGTAGTCGTAGATCCTCTGCGCGAACTCCTTGCAGTGCGAGAATCCCAGCGTGTGGCCGCCGGACAGCGCCACCATCTCCTGCACCGTGAAACCCTTGTCCTGGAACAACTTGATCACCTGGTCCATGGTGAAGTTGGACTGCGGCATCTCCTTGTCGGGCGCCGTCGGCGACGACGTCAGCGAGTCCTTGCGGCCGAAGGAGATCGGGTAGCGTGGGCCGCCGGTCATGGTGATGAGCACGCGCGCCGCCAGCGCCAGGATGTCGGCGCACGACACCACCTCGGGGCACTCGAGCTCCAGGGCGAGCTTGGCGCGCACCACGGCGTCGAACGCGTCGCCCGGCAGCGAGTGGTTGATCTCCGCGCTCTGCTCCGACTTCTCGAACGCCGTGGCCGCCACCAGCACCGACGCGTCGCACCCGCTGACGAAGCAGTCGTGGAAGAAGAGGCGGAGCACCCCGGCCGCCGTCGTCGGGTTCGCCATCTGCTTCGACTGGACCACCTCCGCGACGATCCGCTCCGCGCGCGGGCACGTCTGGGCGTAGTAATCCGGCGACAGCTTGTCGCCCCCCAACGGCTGCCCCGGCGGCTTCTCGCCCACCAACGGCTGCCCCGGCACCAACGGCTGCCCCGGCGGCTTCTCGCCCACCAACGGCTGCCCCGGCAACGGCTGCCCCGGCAACGATTGCCCTGGCAACGGCTGCCCCGGCAACGGTTGCCCCGGCGGCTTCTCGCCCACCAAAGGCTGCCCCGGCAACGATTGCCCTGGCAACGGCTGCCCCGGCAACGGCTGCCCCGGCAACGATTGCCCTGGCAACGGTTGCCCCGGCAACGGCTGCCCCGGCAACGGCTGCCCCGGCGGCTTCTCGCCCGGCAACAGCTGCCCCGGCAGATTCTCGCCCGCCAACGGCGGCCCCGCGCGCGCCCCGCCGGCCAAGACGCCGGCAAACACGACGAGGAGGAGGAGGAAGGACGGACGCATGGCTGCTGCTGCTGCTTCTTGGTTTCTCAGCTGGGAAGTCGATTGTTTCCCTTCCCTCACATAGAGTTTGAGGCGCGCGCGGGTGTGGAATGGCAGGTCGAAGAAATGCGAGGAGAGGAGGGGGGAGGAGTTGGGTTTGCTGTTCTTGGAGGCGGTGGAGAAGAGGAAATGGAGGGGGAGGGAGCGGCGGGAAGAGGTCGTAGAGAGGAGGAAGAAGAGGAGAGGTACGTACTATTTCTGGATCAACGTGCAATGCTGGTTTGCCCTTTAAGTAGGGGTGTTAGTGTCCGTTTGCCCTTCAGTAGCAGCCTCTGGTTGTAAACGTGTGGTGTGATTGTTTTTTCTATTTCTGGCTATAGCATTTTAGGGTTATAGACTTTAAATTTTTTTTCCCTGCTCTATCAATAGAAACGTTGCACTAATGTACGGGTTGCTTCAAAAAACGTGCAGTGCTGGTTCAAAACCTGTCCCTTGCATTGCCGTTTTCAGCTCCATTAACGTTCCTCGAGTTAACCATGGACGTTCATTTGTAACTCCGGGTTTTTCACTTTTTCGTAAATGCAATGATTATTAATTAGCTCGGCAGTTGTTGAGTATGTTGATGGAGAAACCAGCCAAACTGAATCTCTCTATGACATGTAGCTAAATCAGAAATGTGTAACTTCACAAGATAGGAAAGGAAGTTCTGTTAGAAACTTTTCACTGCCTCCGTTTCAAATTACTTGATGTTCTATGTTTGTTATAAATCAAATATTTTAATCTTTGATCATGAATTTCTATAAATTTATATAATTTAACATCGTATCGTTTATATTTTTAGATTCAGCATAAGCAATACTTACATAATATATAATTGAAATACTGTTAAACTATACAGATTTTAAAAATTAATGATCAAAGATAAAGATAAGACATATTTAACTTAGGATAAATCTAGAATGGTAAGTAATTTTAAATGAAGTAATGAAAACAGAGTTGCTGAAGAAGTTATGCTAAGCATATCATAATTCATGACATGCCCATGCAAAATGGCTCAATTATTGATGTTTAATCGATTGCGTAGATATAAGATCATAACTTGCCCATTTCCCTAAGTGCCAGGTAGTAAAAGATCAACGTAGCCATCACCTAAAAATTTGAACGAATCTGAATTGGATTCTGGCTGCAGTGTACAACATAAGACAGTTTCTTGAAGCTGTATACACACATCATTAACCATCTTGGTTCCGGGTGAACGGATACAGCGCCAGTAAGATCCCCAAAAGAACACTACATGTAATATTTTACATCATTTCTGAAACTGCCGAGGCTCCTGACTTTTCAGGAAACAAAATGTTACGTCACAGGAGAAAAAATAATTTGCGAGGGTGTCTTTCCGAATGTCAAACTGAGATTCCTGCCTATTTGATCCCATGGAGTGGACGACAAAGAAAAAGATATTTCTTCTCGGAGCAACTCCCTTGGGTTCCATTTCCTGGGAGTAGTAACTTGCAGGGAATACCTAAAGATCACAGAGGAAGATAACTAAATACTGCAGAAGCTACCTCAAATCAAAATATGTTATTATCAAATAACACACTACCTTCCTCAGCAGGGTCTTCTCTTGTCTACTTTCAAATGGATGTTGAACCATTTCTTCCTTCGAAGTCGTTCCTTAGGTTTCTTTTCCTTTCTAGGACCATCATCATCACTTCTGGATCCCTCCATGGACTTGCTCTTCGATTTCTTTTCCTTTTTCACAGTTTGGTCATCATCACTTTTGGACTCTTTAGAGGATGTTTTCCCTTTGTTGCTACTGGAACTCCGTTGCAGAGTTGTGTTGTTGGTGTAGGATGCATGAATTGCATTCCTTTCCTTGAGAAGCTCGTCGATCTATAAAGAAAACATGATATCAGAACAAGGTCAGAAGCAGAAATGAACTAGGAGTATTTCACAAATACAAACAGTACCGTCTGCATTTCTTGAGCGTATCTGCTGGTCATCTCGGTGAACTTCGCTAAGACCTGAAAATTTCAGCTATTAACAAAACTATCTCTTGGATTTGCGGACACAAACAATTTAAAAGGTTGGATTATACCTCTCTATACTCAGACTCAAATTTAGACAGCTCAGATCGTTTTGCAAGTATCTTTGCCTCCACGCATCGTAGTTTCTCCTTTTCAGTAGAAAAGGGTTCAGCACATACAACCTCTATATTATAGGTTGCACTCTTGAAGAAATTATCACCTAAATGAGGTGACTGATCTTTTTAAAGCCATTGTACACCGCCAGGGATAACAAACTAATACAAGCAACAAAATAAATGGCGTACCATAGACAGCAAAAAAATGGGTCCCTGCTTTTAGTTCATTTACTTCACATGGTTGAAAGCCATCCAATCTTTTAAAGAATGCACTATCAGGATCCTTTGCAGCAGCAACCTGGCAGTAACTAGAGCTGGTAAAGAGGCACCAAAAACAAAAACATAGAGAGGTAGCCAGACAATAGCTTGCATACTCACTGAATTATTTTGTTCAAAGCGATAGACTGGAAAGCCAAGAAAGAACATTCCAGCAGAAGTAACTTTCCCTGTCTTTACACTGTCTTCCTGCACTAACATGATACATTAGCTGAAACCATGCCCAAAACATCAAAAGACTAGCACAATAAAAATATCAAATCCTTGTCATTGGGTACTGGATAGAATGAAAATTGGATGAAAAAGCAGTATTGGTGCAAAGCAACATGTTAATAGTCAATCCCACAGACCAGAATTTATTTCAAAGGGAATAATATAACTTGGAAGGCCTTCGGCAAAAGATGTCAGTTGCGGATGTTTGAATACAGCACGCAGACATAACCAGGATTAATCCCGTTTCATTACCTGAATTTGTCATGCTAGTGTCTTTTCAAGTGCTCTGCTAATTTAAACTAATCTTCTATGGTGCATAAAACCACATATAAACAAGAAGCATCTTTCCAGGTTAAGCTAAACAGAGAAAAGCTTTTTAATGTCGAGGACCCTGGATTCCTAAAGGCATCATTAGGCAGTAAATATTTTGTATCGTACAGGCCATCCTTGCAACATTGACTACACAAAATCATAATATTCGAAGTTTACTAGTTATGCCAATATGGAAAGTTTTCCATCTATATTATGAGAATGAAGGCTCACTTAAGTATTTTATTTACAGAAAGAATAGTCACCAAATACATCTACCAAGAGGCTTTCTGAGTTTGTCTTGCTCCACAGTTGTGATGGAACAATAGTTTGTCAACTGTTACTAGTGGAGTAGTGGTGCACTCAAGATTACAGGAAAATTCACAGAAAAAGAAGTGCCAGCCAATTGTAACATAGGGTTAGGAATGGTTCTAAAAAAGGGAGGTATATCTCTGGCTTGTGCAAAAAATAGAGTAAATAGTTCAAACTTGTCAATTAACCAGAATGTGCTGTGGATTATATTGCATAAACACTTTACAGGATGACCCCGTGACAAAACAATATCCAACTCAGTGTGTTTTGGATTTTCATGCTAGAAACTTACGCAGATAATAAGCTAGTCCCAAATAGGAGTATTTTTTGTAACCCATTTTTAGTTTGTTTCTAGGACTAGCAAAATATAAGAACAGACTATACATACCTGTAAAGCAAGGCTTAACCCACCATTTTCTTCAGGCTCGAAATATAGCAACTGAAAGAAAGAGAAACTTACCTTAGAATCTGTGCATGGCAAAACTTTCTAAACTTACAGTATAATTATACATGTATCAAGTACTTGATTGTTTTTACTTTCGAATATCATAATTAGATATCATGGCAATCTCAGAAGAAACAGACAGACGGCTAAACCAAGTTCATTATTATAGCAATTAACATTGCCACCTTTGGCCGTAAAAAGTTTTTCAAGAACAACAGCTCACATCACAACCACATTTCTTGTTGTTGAGAAGAGAAAATAGAAAGTAACAGCTAAAGTCAGCTAAGCTTTTCAACATACAACTAGGAGGCGGCAATGCTCATCAGACAAAGTTGTATAATGGAGTAGTTACTGTCGAAAGATCATAACGGACAAACACTAACAACAAGTTAGCAACTAACCTTGAATTTACTTTTAGCAGTTGATTGAACTCTACACACTAACCCCATTTTGGCTTCTTTATCTGTTATGTCCACAGAATAAAAGTGAGCTGATTGCTTTTCCACCTGCCAATATGTGAAATCTGAAACATTATTCACTGACAGGAAAAAAATGGAAAGTAAATTATGGGAGATAGTTGAATACCTTCCTAAAGACGGACTGGCCAAGCTCGAGTTGGGAAATTCCCACCGACCCATTCAATGCTTCCTCTAAAACTGTTGCAGAAACTGTGGTCTTGATTGGTACACCTAGCTTGCTACACAAACATAAGCATAATTAAATAATCGATTAAGTAAGATCAAAGTAAATGGCTATCCTTAACAACCTACCTAAACAGGGCAGCAAACACTGTATTTACAGTGTTCAGACTTGACAGGTCCAACTCCAGTTCCTGACTATCTGCTTCAATGGCCTGAAAGATAACAAAAGCATTACAGGCAGACAAAATCAAGCAGATCAAACATCATGCTTTTGTATGCCATAAATTACCTCGAATCCCGAGGAATCATACTGCCGCCTCTTATCGGGATCTGACAGTATGTTGTAAGAGAATGTGGCTTCTTGAAACTTGTCCGAGGCAACAGGGTCGTCTGCATTCTTGTCTGGATGGTACCTGCAGTACCAAAAAGCAGAAAAAAAAAACTCACTTCATTATCGCTCAGTCGTTCTGCAACAATTACCACACAAGCAAAGCAAAGTACCAGCATACTACCAACTTTTTGAACGTAAGGTAGGAGAAGGCTTTTTTTTTTCTTTTTGAGCAAGGGCTCGAGGCCCCCATTTCCATTACCAGAAATGAGACAGGAGAAGCCTTGGTTTGGTGTTTGAATCTAATACACGGTTCTAAAAGCTCAGTGAACAGCTCTTGTGCTGGTGTTACAGGAGATGAATTTATTCAAAGTGAGCCAATTTGACCAAAAAGTGCACTCCGTTCTTCAGAAATTTGAACAAAATCCTTCCCTCCCGAACATAACAACAGCACTCAAAAGTGACCAAATCCAAGAAGCTTTACTTACTTGAGGGCCATGCGGCGGAAGGCGCTCTTGATCTCCTGCTCGGTGGCATTACGCCCCACCCCAAGCACCTCGTATGGGTCCCTCCTCTGCGCCGCCGCTCCGGCCCCCGCCGCCGCCCCCGCCGAGCTCCCCTTCTCCGACTTGAACGACCCAAACTTCGACCCCGCCATGAACCCCCTCCGCGGCGCCGCCGCAACACCAAACAAACCCCGGCAACAACCCTAATCCCACCCCCAAAACCTCAGATCTTACTGCTTGTTGAACCGGTCGTCGTCAGGCCCTGCCCCACCACCCGCCGCGGCCGGCCGGCGGCGAGCGGCGGCGCAGCCTCTAGGGTTTCCCCCGCGGTCTCTCCTCGAAGAGCGCGCGAGGCCAGCTCCTCCTCGGCGCGGACGTGCGCGTGCGCGTGGTGCGCGGCTTCTGCTAATTTGGGGAGGTGGCGAGGGAGGAGTCCAGGACTCGAGAGAGGCCGACGAAATGGGGGGAGGAGAAGGCGAGGAGGAGAGGGAGAAGAGACCAAGACGAAATTATTTTGGTGCCGACATGTGGGCCCCACCGCGCAGTGGCCTCGTCGTCGTCGTCGGGCGGTGAGGTGGCGGCGGGTGCGGTGCTTCGCTCGAGTATACTCCTATGTGTGCTCCTGATTAACCGTTAACTACTCTACTCATCGGCTCATCGCTCGCACCGATTTGATTTCGAAATTTCGAATAAATATAGGGTGGCCCACATCTGGTGGGGCACACCCGTCAGTGAGATGACTGCAGGGTCGAAATGGTAGCTGAAGAAAGAGTTTTTTCGTCGTTCCCGCGTAAGGATTATCAATTTGTGGAAATGTGGGTTGTTATTGAAGTGTTGATTACGCTGTACTCTCTGTGGCCGAGGTGGGGATGGGACGGTGACAGGTGTGGGACCAGAGAATGTGGATTTAGTGCTCAGGCCCAGTGGCCAGTGAGTGAGAGGACCTGCATTTAGGATGCAGCTTCGGAGTATCTGACCGGTTACATTTTCGTTGGCATTACCACCGTTGAAGCTAAAAATCATGCGCGCAGTAGACCATTTCTCCACCATCACACCAAACGTGTAATAACCTTTTTGACCACTGAAACAATTCACAGCTTTTAGTCAGTTTTTTTTAAGTGGAAGCGGCAAATATTACAAAATAGAGTTGACCCTGTTTATAAGAAAAACCGGACCAAAAACTATACAACTATACGGTTTGCTAAAGTAAAACCGATAAAAACCTTACACATAGAGACACAGAAAGCCTGAAGGCAAAAACGACTACGGACCGCAGAAGGCCGAGGGAAGAGCAAAAACCCTAAGACGAAGCCTCCAAGGAGGTGAACAACGACATAAGCCGTTGTCGACACCCGCCCATCAGCTGGACTAAGTTTTCACACAAGGAGGGGAGAGTCCACAAGGCAACACCTCCAAGGAGGAAACAGCACCGGCAGGCGTCGATATTGCCGATCCCGGACGACTAAGCAGGGCTTTTGCCCCCGGACTCACTCAAAAGTGCAGGACCTCCAAGAAGTAAGAGGAAACAACTCTCGCACCATAGAGGTAAGCACACCGCTTCAAAATTGGCGCTTCAACAAGTTCACACAGCCAGCACCAACGAGGCCTAAGAGCCCTAACTACAGACAGACAAGACCAACACCGCGGACGAACAAACTCCTCAAGCACCGAAAGAGCACTGCCAGATCTGTAAGCAAATAGCCAATGGAGGGGGCACCAAGGAGGCATGGTCGGCCTGGAGAGGAACTGAGATATGAAGAGAGGGCACATAGACATCGGTGTCAACCATATTTCCGGCGAAGAACTCCGGGCTTCGCGGGACAAACCAATCAACTTCAGCGACCACCTGCGACTTCACCACCACCACAGAGAGATGAGCACTAGGGGGAGGGGAAGGAAGAGAGAAAGGAAGGCAGAGAGAAAGGAAGAGAAGAATGGTGGTTTCATAGGGGGTGGGAGGTGGGGAGGGGTGGCGGAAGAACCGACGCCCCCCCCAAGCTGGTCGACGCGCTGCCGACTCGAAGCCGGAAGCCGCTGCCCACCATCAGCCGCCACCCAAGCGCTAGACTGCCGGCCACCACGAGCCGCATCGACCATGCCGCTACGCGCCGGACACGCCGCCTCTACATCGCGTCTACCGCCGCCGTCATCGGAGAAGATCTTATGGCTGCGGGGCCGGATCTACCACTGCCGGCGAACGTCGCTTCCCCCGCGCCGCATCGTGGAGGCCCTGTTACCGCCATCCTAGCTTTGCCGGTGGCGGTAGGGTTTTGCCCCCGTGTCGCTTGCGCATGAGTGACGCGGGGGGCCGGGGGCGGGACCATTAACTGAATTATGTTTAATTAGTTACTCCATCCGTCCAAAAAAAACCCAATCCTGGGTTTGAATCTGGATATAGTGTATGTCCAGATTCAAACCTAGAATTAGGTTTTTTTTGAGACGGAGGGAGTAGTTCTTAACAATATATGATTGATGATTTCACCAAGTACCTCGTATCAATCACATCGAGTAATTCCTAACGACGAAGGCCTTTTATACTTTCATTATAAAAGATCACTTTACTTGCAAACATCCACCTGAACACCGACGAGTGGTTAACTAACACGTAGTAAAGCAGTTCTCTTTTTTTCATCGATACCATGTTCAACTCCCCAAGCAAAGCATTCAATCATGGATAGCTCAAGATGTCCTCCAAAAGGCTGTTACCTCGCATCAGATCAGATGTTCCCGCAAACAAAATAGTACATGAGCAAGGCCCTAAAACAAGCTCAGAAACAGTAGCCAGACGCACACTATTCAGCTACAGCAAGATCAGGACACGCATTGCAGGCTGTACAGATTGATCAAAGGCCCCACTGCCTGCCTGTGAAATTGTCCGGTTACACAACCCCAATTGCATATGATGATACTATGAAGCATCAGATCTTGAAATGATTGGCATCGATGTGGTCCACGGATCATCAGGCAGACAAAAACACGAGACCACATCAAACGGGCGCCTTCCACGGACACCAGCAGAGGCAGCAGCGCCCGAGAGCATTGGGCCCAGCGAGAAATCGCCCGTGGGCCGACGTCACATGCCGATCCCGTTTCGGCCTAAATTGCCCCGCATGTATGTTCGTGGAAAAAGTATACTTGGACTCCCTCAACTATCGACCGAGTATGATTCACGTCCCCTAACCAAAAAACCGGGTATATGGACTTCTCCAACTATTAAAATTGGTGCAAACAATATCCCTCGGTGGTTTTGGGGTGGTTTTGGCTGACATGGCACCTACGTGGCCGGTCTTGACCAAGTTTTTGTCCTACGTGGCGCTTACGTGGTATTAGAATAAAAAAATAAAAACATATGTGGGACCTATATGTCATTCTATTAACAGTGAAATTTGGTAAGCCCAGAGTAGTCATCGGCTTAGAGTCAGCATCGGCTTCGAAGTCCTGAGATTAGCCGATGAGAGTTTTCAAGTCGTCAGTTGTCGGATTCTTGCTATATTCGGTTAAGGAAATTGATCTACTAAAGGAAGTTTATCCAGAAGAGACCGAGTTCAAAGAGAATGCGGCATGGCAAGTTATTTATTAATTAGGAATAGTTTGTTAGTTTCTTTTATCTTTAGGAAAGTGTGTTTAGTGTCCTATAAGGACTTTATCTTTTCCTTTTATCTTTAGGAAAGTTTCTTTCTTGTCCGACAAGGACTTGTATCAACCCATAGGTATAAATATGTATACCCGGGGTCTATGTAATCTATCGCTACGATCAATACAATTCGGCGCATCGCCACCTTTTACCTTTTCTACTTTATTTTATCGTTCGGCGGGACTTGGCACCTGACGTGGGGCTGCATCGGTGTTCGATCTCCAGCTAAGGGGTAAGTCCAATGTTCCGCCGGTCCAGACAATTGTATCGTTTACGTCGGCATCGTTCAAGACTGCATCAGGACATTCGACCTCTTCGATTACTCTGGTTTGGATAATATATTTGCCTAGCTATTTATCATATGTCTATGTTAATCTAGTCCTAGCATCTCAATTTAGCTCTATCGGCTGTCTCTCGCTTTAGGGTTTCTGCCGGTATCGGCTAAATCGTCTTGCTAGATTAGATTAGCCTAGGCATCTACCACCCTTAAAATCAGTCAACGGCTTAATTGTCTAGATATTATGTTTCTTTTCATACTTAGTGCTGCATCAGTTAAGTTTGATCTACTAAGTCGTGCTTAGAACCATTATCTCCAACCTGTTTCTTGATTGCCAATAAGGGTTTCATCGGGGTTTCAGCCGATGAGTTATCTGGACGTTGCATCGGCTTACAAGGATTGCATACATATTGGATTTAGCCGATCGCAATAAGATTTAATTGTTTAATATAATCTTGTGGATTTTATGACATCGGACCTCCAGCCGATGTATGCTTTAACCTTTGGATCAGTGCTTATTATATATTGTTTCTAGCCGATTGGTTTCTACTCGATTATATTGTTATTTTATTACATCAGCCGATTGCCTTTATATCATCATCTACATTGGACATATAGCCGATTGCTTAAACCCTATCGCTATTGGCTGGTATCGGCATCGGCTGGAATCACTACATCGGCTTGTCAGCCGATCGGCTATTTTGTCTGCTGTTTACATATCTTGTCAGTTGCAAGATCAAACTGACTGGCACGCCCGCATCTCATCAATCTTTGGACCTGCAGAGGAGTTAAGCAGATCTCCCAGGCCGGTGTGTTCAATTTTTTTCGTCAACACATTCACACAAAAAAAATATAGTGGGACCCACATGTCATTCTCCCTCTCCTTTCCTTCTTCCTCCCCCTCTCTCTCTCCCTTATCTCTCTCTCCCCTCTAGGCCTTTCTCTTGGCCAGAGCGTGGGGGAGAGCGGCGGCGGCGGTGGCGGTGGCGGTGAGGAGCGGCGGTGGAGGCGGTCAGGAGCGGGGACGGGTCAAGGACCTCCAGTCCCTCCTCGTCCCAAAGGGCGCCCACCACCCACCGCATGCCGCGTTGTCCTCCCTCTCCCTGTCGCCGCCGCACGTCTTCCACCGCATCCGCGTCACCGCGTGCGCGCTGCGCGTCCTCCACAACCTCCAACCCGCAGGGTAGCAGCCGCAAGCGGCGGCCGCCATCTGGAGCAAGCCTGGTGATGGCGAGGGGCCGCGGGTGTTGCTCTACTACATGTCGCTCCGTGGGACCTACGAGGACTACCACGCCGTGCGCACCATCCTGTGGGGGCTCCGCGCCGCCATCGACGAGCGGGACCTCTCCATGGACTCGGCCTTCCTCCTGGAGCTCGCCGCGCTCCTCCCCCAACGCCGCCACGTGACCCTCCCCCAGATGTTCGTCAACGGCCGCCACCTCGCCGCTCCCGACCGCCGCCGCTGTCGCTCCCCGCCGCCACCGCTCCCCTCCGCCTCGTCCCCATCGGCCACCGCTACCGCTGCCGCTCCTGAGTCCTGAGAAAGAGAGATAAGGGAGGGAGAGAGAGAGAAGGGGAGGAAGAAGGGGAGGGAGGATGACATGTGGGTCCCACATATTTTTTATTTTTGTTTTTAATCTAGTGCCACGTAAGCGCAAAGACCCGGTCAAAACCACCACGTGGGCGCCACGTCAGCCAAAACCACCGAGGGTTGTTGTTTGCACCGATTTTGATGGTTGGAAGAGTCGATATACCCGGTTTTATGGTTGGTGGTCATGAATCATATTCGGGAGATAGTTGAGGGAGTCAAAGTATACCTTTTTCCTATCTTCGTTCACATTGCCGTTTTGGGCCAACTCGTCCGGTAGGTTCGTGTGTATACCATGACAGTTGGCCCAAGAAGCGTTCGCAAGCTGGACTCGGCTTGTTGCTCGCAACCACGGCGACTTGTCTGTTCGGCGGTCGCCTGTCGGTTTGAGAAAGCAATACTCCTGTTGCGAGATGTGAAGACACGGAGAGAGAACGACGGCGTTCGTTTCTTGCTCCCGGGCTGGCCCATGTCTTCTCCGTGTCATTGTACATGGCTACATCTACATGTACTATATTCTCATCATAGTCTCGTTTAATTGGATCGGTAAGTGTGGCCCTACGGCTACGTCTACGGGTAATAATAGAGTTAGACACGAGAGGAGCGAAGGACGCCAACACTTGCACGATCGACGACCCAGCATGAGCGCCAACGCACGTAAGTCGTAAAGCCGGATAACACGTACGCCTGACTCCAGCCAAGGGCCATAGGTTTGTGCGAAGGCGCGTCGCATGCATGTTCCGTTTTGACGATCGAGAGATTGCTGAAGAAGCTTATTAAAGACGAGGTTGGCACTTGGCAGGGAAAGGGGGAGACAGACGGCTGTTGTCCGAGAGAGAGCTTATTTAGTGGAGATGAACGATGTGAGAAACAGGCTACCCGTAGGTGACGGCATGATGTTTCATGTTTGTTACTGAAAAAACCAAAAATATGACTAAAAAATGGTCTTAAAAAATGTATGGTCGTAGGTAGATCGTGAGGAGAATTGGTGGTGGTGCATCATCCTTAAGAGACGTGGACAGAATTTACAATAACCGTCCACAGAGGACAACGAACACGAACTAGCTACAAACATGGAATAAACACGCTCCAGATCTTCACATCTCCATCCAGGGCTCCGCTGCAAACGAGGGCAGAAGATCCCTCCGACGAGCACGATCCATCGTCGTCGCGTCCGCCGCGCACCAATGCCAGGCTCTTCACGGCCGCGCCATGGCTTTCCATGACGGCGAGGCAAGTGTAGCCGTTGTTCTCCGCACCTCCCCTCCTCCACACCCTGACCGTCCTGTCCGCCGAGCCGCTGCACACCAGCTCGCCGGCCGCCGCCAGGCAAAGTATCGCTCTCGCGTGCCCTCTGAGCGTGCCCGTGGCCTCCATGCCGCCGTCGCCGCCGCCGGCGCTCTCCCAGACGACAACGGAGCGGTCGCACGCGCCGGAGTAGAGCACCTTGCCGTTGGCTCCGAGAGCGAGCGCGTTCACCGCCGACCTGTGGCGCTCCATCGTGCCGACCAGCGCGTGCTTCCTCTGCCCGGGGCCGCGGGTCCACGCCTTGATCTTCTTGTCGGCCGAGCCCGTGTACACGCGCCCGTCGGGGGAGACCGCGAGCGCGTTGATGGCGTCGTCGTGCGCCGCCGCGATGGACTCCACGCACCGGAAGCCGGGCAGGCTCCACACCTTGATGCTCCGGTCCCACGACGCGGAGTAGAGGAGCGCGCCGTCCGGGGACACCGCGAGCGCGGTGACCGCGTCCACGTGGTGCACCCAGGTGCACCTCCTGTGCCGCCGGATCTCCACGTAGCTCCACGGCAGCAGGCACGTCCGGAGGCGGTCCACGGCGGTCGGGAGCACCGCGCGCAGGACGAGCTGCGGCCGTGTCTCGCCGTCCCTCCGCCGGCTACCGGCACGCCACGCCCTGATCTTGCCGTCCTGGTGGGAGCTCAGGAGGAGCCCGCCATTGCCCGTGGCGAGGAGAGACTTGACGGAGCTGTCGGTGTCGGCGACCGTCGTGCTGCTGCTGCTGCTGCTGCAACCGTCATCCTGCTGCTGCTCCTCCTGACTTCTCCTTGCGCCGTCCAGTGCCCACAGCCTGATGCTCCCGTCCGACGAGGCGATGTACAGCGAGTCACCGTCGACGGCGAGAGCGGAGACGTACGCCGACGCCGACGAGTGGCCTTTGATCGTGGCGATGAATTGGTGGAGCGAAGGGCTTGTGTTCAGGTCATGGACGTCAAGGGAAGGAAGGGAACGGAGGCTCGGCTGCGACGCGAGCGACATGGCTCCCGAGAGCATGCTACCTTCTGCAGCCTCATGTTGGATTTGGCTTCCTTCCTGCTCACCAGAAGAGGATTTCATGGAACGGGAGACCCTACTAGACCAGAAAATCAAATCTTCTCCAGGGAAACGATCCAAACACAAGCTAGAGTTTCATGCAATATAATAAGAAGCGGCTACTCAGATAGCATGCTAGGATGGATCATATAGTTTTTTTATTATTATTATTTTTGCGCCTGGTTTTAAACAGGAAAATGACCCCATAGGCCATAGACCAACACAAAAACCAAATAATCAAAAATGCATGATAGAAGCTCAAACTCATGTTTAAAGGCAAAAGGGACAACCTAGAGCGCTCTAGATCACGATCGAGATCGAAATCTTGGTAGAGTGTCAGTATCAGATAATCAGATAGAGAGAAAACTAGCAGCAGTCAAAAGTAAAATGATCAGAAGTTCATAACCCTGGAGGATTCAATCCTCGCACACTAGCCTTTACTGTGGAGAGTTCAGGTAGACGTCATACGCGCACAGTGTTGTCCAATAAGCAAAGATCGCTCTAGCTAGTGGGGTAACAATTGCCACCGTTCGCGTGCAGCTAAGCGTCCGTATCCATGGATGTTACCTAACACCAGCATCTGCCCTACCATTTTTGGAGCTCATCAATCTTCCTTTTCTATGACACTTTATCCACTGTGCTTGCATATGCATTCTTTGAATCTATTCTAGTACAATTCTACACAAAGGTAGTCTTGTAATGATATCTCACCCAATCCGCCTTTTATTTCGTTCCCATCCAGCGCATGTGCTGCCGTGTCCCCTTAACGTTCTAAGCAATAGTTATATCTATAGCGCTACATTTTTCATCGAAGATAATCAAATCGTTTTTACATTGTATATTAACTATATTTACTGTTGGAGGTCGTCGTAGGCAGTAGCTTTGCAGGTTCCGAAGATGTCACTCGTTGCCGAACGATGAACAGCAGCTTCACGCCGGCGGCGCTGTCTTCAAGGAGATTCACGCCCTCGCCGAGGTGCACGAGACGGACAGCGGCTCTCCTCCAAGATACAATGATCTCGTATCCTTAGCCGTGCACTCGGCCAAGAACGAACCAGTGGACTTTCGTGGGATGTAATTCTCTCTATGCAAAACAAGCAGATGGATGTGGGCAAAAACTTCGTGCAACAAATACAGCAGCAGTACGTGACTTATATAGCCTTGTATAGCAACAAGAAAATCTTATCCCTAAGCCGGATAACAAACAAACAATAGATTGATTTCCGTCGGCCTGAAAATCTGGAACGATAAAGACTTATCTTCCACATACAGCTCAAAAAACCAACAATATCAAAACTGAAAACCGAAATCTGAAGATAAGGCAAAAGTTCAGATATATTTATCTGAACCAAACTGAAGAATCGCTGGTACAAAATGAACAGAACCATAGAGATAAAATCTGAACAACCATCAAATATCGTTTGTGACTTTCATTCAAATATAATCAGAAGGAAAACCAACTGAATTCCAACATTTACACCCTAAGTTTCAATAAATACACTGAAATTTTTAATACACACCATATAAGAGAATTATGGTTAAAAATAATTGATTAAAAAAACGCGAACGCGCAAAAGAATTGCACGTCAATATATTAGAAGAAAAGAAATTTTGTTACACGATGCAATCAGCCAAACCGGCTTATGCCAAGAAAAGGGGGAAAAACATAACCAAAGAAAAGGAAGAGACTACTACGATAGCTAAACGCAACTCCAATCAGCTGGGACGAGGGCAGAACCCCGCTACACTCCCAAGAAATCCCAAAAAAAAAGCAAAGCCAGCTAATGACCACAGACGACCCTTCAAGAGGATGGACTCTAGAACCACTGAGACCGAAGAGAGTGCATAGTCGAAAAAAATTGATTACATATAGCAAAAATCATTACAAAGAGAAAAAGGTGACTGAAATCAAGTAAAATAATATGGTGCCGTTTTTTTAGCAAAACCTATAATAGTTGCTTGCTTCCCTGTCAGCCTTATCAATGTGTGTAGGTAAAAAAGGACAAAAAAAGAGAAAGAGAGAAAGAAATACAATAAGGATTTTTTTTTTTGGTTCTGAGTAGGCATGCTAAATTAGTATCTGAATTCATCATGACAACAGTTTCAGCACCAAGATGGGACGAATCCCCAGCTGTTTTCTGAAGAATAATTCAGCACCGACATAGTCGCTCGATTGGTACCGTGCAATTGTGCTGCAGTACTGCAAGCGACAACACACTTATCCAACATTGTCTGGGAGAAACTCCATCCCAAAATCCTGAACCTCTATGTGATGCTGCGGAATCAACTTGTACGTGCAAACAAGCATTATTGGGTTGTGTGGTTCTATGCTCCGAGTGAAACCGAGCGATGGCGCACATGTTGTACTGTGTTGCTGTGATCGCACTCGATAACAACAATTATCAATTGGATAATGGAATTGAATCACACATGCTGAAATCAGTGATAAGGTTGTTCCTCTGTCATAATTCTGACAGTTGATATTCTTCCTTCGGAACAGAGGGCGTAAATGAGCAGGAATATGCCGGTCGTGTCAATAGCAACGCGAGCGGTAGACTCGCATTCGGTGTTCCCTTGCTGGGCCAGAGGAAATCCCATGCTGAACATGAGGAGACAAGCAGAAAGCTTAGCCCTAGTAGAAGCCAAAGCCAGCATTGTCGTTGTAACTGCGATTACGTCTGCCCTGCTTATAGACAAATCAAAGGAAGGTAGCCTGGTAGATCAACTGGGACCAATATGGAGTATCTTCGAACAGGACACTGCGTCTGCGTGCCTATGAATTGTGAGGCACTAGTTCTGTGCCCTGGTGAATGGTGATTGTTCAGAGAATCAGAGCTCAAATTGCAGATAGTTTTCTGATTGTTTCTGGGTAGTTCCTTCGCCGGCCCGGCAAAAAACAGGATTGTTCCTGATCAGTACACTTCTCCGTGAAAGCTAAGGACGATCCTTCTCTGTGCCCGTATGTGTCGCTTTCCTGATAATACGATCTTTTTGCTAGGCAAGTTGCAGACTCGCGGTATCATTTTTTTACAAGCGGGCCGCCATTCTTGTCGTCTCGAGATGATCTTTTGTCTGTACTGTAGCTGATAAGTCAGACCACTATTCTGGTAAAGAACTTGTCCGTAGCATTTGTAGGAGGTTAGATACTGAAATATTCTAATCGCCAGTTGATAAGCAAATTGCTCCTGAACTATCGAAGAATATCTTTGTCTCGTCACTGACAGTTCCAGTTCTAACTGCTGATATGCCTGTCTTGTAAGTCTATTACTGGTCCTTGGACCTTAACAACTGGGCCTTCAGGGGAAATCTGTGAATCCGGCCCATAAGGTCAATGGGCCGAAATTGATCACCTCTGGCCGGTCGGCACGGGTTTGATTTCAGCCCAATAAAATTTGAAGCTGGAAATTTTGCTTGGAAACAGTCAGAAAGAGAGTAGAACACCTCCCTTTGTGATGACCGCATCTTCGGCTTTCCCATTTGTTTGTCTTCGCTGAGGTGGTGAAACTTTGTGAAATAGGGCAAAAGGCGTATCTTAGGCAGCCCAGCTAAGAGATATGGCTTCCTCAACTGAATCAAGGCCACCTAAATACCTACTTCAATCACCTGTCGAATAGTCGAACACCTGTATTGCATGTTCAACTGCTCAGAGCCGGGTCAGTGTTTTGGTTCTTGCTTTGTTCATTTGTACACTACTAAATTATTTCTTTGTTTATACTTTGTATTTCGCGGATGGTTCAAAGCCGAGATAGCAGTTATCAACTTGTCATGGAAAGAGAAAATTGATTTAGAATGTAGACCATTCGTGAGGACAAGGTATATCAGAACATTCTTTTTCCACTTTTCACTCGTCGTGTTTAAATGAGAAAAATCGAGATTCCAACTGCCTTGAGAAGAGCATCTCGCTTTGGAACAACCGAACCCCCTGCATTCCCACTTTGTACGCCATGGTTTCTCGATTTCTTCCTCCCTTTCTTAAATGGAGCAAATATAAAGAAACAATGGCATGGGCTAAAATGCTTCCTGTCCCAAGTCAAGCTAGCCAGAAGATTATGTTTCCCTACATTCTGATTGGCAAGTTGGTTATTCCTTTTCTGATTGGTTAGGTTGGTGATTCAGAGATGTCGAGACGTGTGTTCTTTTGCATCTCGTGTATGCTTTGGTGGTGCAGTTGGAAGAGATGGCGTCTCTGGTCTAATATCTGAAAACGGCACTGATGACAATAATTGCTGGCCATGGTTTCAGCCTACGACCCTTCTATAATCGTCAGATTATCTCTTGCGTGTTGCGTGTAGCTCACCGGAAAACAACCCGATAGAAGCTTCTTGCCAGGTCAGACTGTAAGCATAAAGAATCCAATCACGAACTCTTTGTTATTTTGAATTGACAAAAGGTGCTTGAATTCTAAACACGTCCTATCATGTCACGTAGATAATATGACACGAGTTGACAACAACATGAAACAGACGCAAGACCACACACACACATACACATCCGCTGATAATCTCTTGACCAAACCGATCCAAACCTACCAAACACGCGCTAATTTTTATTTAGACATTTCGTTCGACGTAACCTGCGGCGACGAGCGAGCGTTCCCGCCTCCTGGCCGGCTGCTGACCAGGCAATCCGTGTCGTAGTGGTGGACTCCATTGAAAATCCTTAAATCTTACGTGACAGCAGCTGGATTTTGCACCGATCGCACCACGTCTCCGTCTGTTTGCGGCTCAAGGTTTCAGCGATGGGCGCCTCCACCTCGCCTCGTCTCGCCTTGCTAGTAGTGGTCGCGGCGGCGGCGTTCGTCTTCGTCTCGCCGGCGATGGCTTTCCCGATGGGATTGCCGGCGACGGCGAACCCGTTCCCGAACCCGTGGTCCGCTTTCCAGAACCTCTCTGGGTGCCACGCCGGCGAGGAGAGGGAGGGGCTAGGGAGGCTCAAGGATTACCTCAGCCACTTCGGCTACCTCCCGCCGCCGCCGTCGTCGTCGCCGTACAGCGACGCGTTCGACGACTCCCTGGAGGCCGCCATCGCCGCGTACCAGCGCAACTTCGGCCTCAACGCGACGGGGGAGCTGGACACGGACACCGTGGACCAGATGGTCGCCCCGCGCTGCGGCGTCGCCGACGTCATCAACGGGACATCCACCATGGACAGGAACTCGTCGGCGGCCGCCCTCCGCGGCCGCCACCTGTACAGCTACTTCCCCGGCGGGCCGATGTGGCCGCCGTTCCGCCGCAACCTCAGGTACGCGATCACCGCGACGTCCGCGACGTCCATCGACAGGGCGACGCTGAGCGCCGTGTTCGCGCGGGCCTTCTCCCGGTGGGCCGCCGCCACGAGGCTGCAGTTCACGGAGGTGTCCTCGGCGTCGAACGCCGACATCACGATCGGGTTCTACTCCGGCGACCACGGGGACGGCGAGGCGTTCGACGGGCCACTGGGCACGCTGGCGCACGCGTTCTCGCCGACGGACGGGCGGTTCCACCTGGACGCCGCGGAGGCGTGGGTGGCCAGCGGCGACGTGTCCACCTCGTCGTCGTTCGGCACGGCGGTGGACCTGGAGTCCGTGGCGGTGCACGAGATCGGGCACCTGCTGGGGCTCGGCCACTCGTCGGTGCCGGACTCCATCATGTACCCGACGATCCGCACGGGGACGAGGAAGGTGGACCTGGAGTCCGACGACGTCCTGGGGATACAGAGCCTGTACGGGACCAACCCAAACTTCAAGGGCGTCACGCCGACGTCGCCGTCGACGAGCAGCCGGGAGATGGACGGCAGCGCGGCCGCCGCCGGCATCCGGCCGTGGAGTGGGTTCGTTGGATTAGTTGTGCCGGCAGTTGTCCTGCTCTTAGCTCCGTAGACTTTCTAGTCCATTTTTCGTGCCTCGGTGTTGCCACGTCCATCTCTGGTTCTATTTCTTGTACGATAGATTATTGTTGACTTTTGGACAGATTCTTGTGTACATAACATTACTGAAGAATTATAGATATCAATATCATACATATTTTTTTGATAGAGAAATTGGGAAGTACTTCTCTTTTCTTTTATTTAAAGTTACTTCTCGGCTAGTTCGTCATGCTCTGGAAAATGAGCATCAAAACGTACTGTATGTCCTGTTTAGTGAGGTAATTAAACTCTAAATTTTCAAGCACCATGGAAGATTCCATTGACACGTTAGTCGTCTGTCCTTAGCAATTAGCATTCATTAGTAGTATATTCCGGAAGAAAATTCTATGCGGCGGTGCCGCACCAGACAGCCCGGGCAACACCGTGTACCCTAGTGACGCGTGTCCAATCCCTGTTGCAACCCGAGCCGATGTCCAATCTCCCAGAGCTCTACAGTATCGAGTCATATCTACCTGCTGCATGTAAAATCTAATTCATTTTTTTAACAGTGCTCTATTTGATGCGAGATACATAATGCCGTTACTTTTAGACACATATTTAACTACTCGTTTTATTTAACTTTTTTTCATGATTATTATTTATTTTTAGACACATATTTAACTACTCGTTTTATTTAACTTTTTTCATGATTATTATTTATTTTGTGGTGAGATGTTGTAATCACTAAAAATATTTTATGCATGATTTACATCTTATGTATGTCCACAAAATTTTTAAATAAAATAAATGATCAGACATGTGTTCAAAAGTTAATGAGATCATTATTAAAAAAACGGAGGGAGTAATATACAGGGGGTTTTTCTAGGGTAATATACATTTTACTAAACTTTATTAATATGCCTCAACTGGTCAGAAATTATTTTTTCATTTGAATAGGGTTGGGAAATTCCATTTTGATGACGTAGAAATCACGGTTTGAAAAGGGCTTTGAGATTACATTTTTGTTGACATATAAATCACGGAAAGTTTATAAGGCTGCGTTCGATCAACTCCAAAAGAGAGAATTTTTAGCGCACGCAAAACGAGAAAACGTATTAGCTCATTATTAATTATAAATTTAAAAAATGAATTTATTTGAATTTTTTAAACAACTTTTATATATAAATTATTTTAAAAAGACGTATTATTTAACAATTTAAAAAACGTGCTAACAGAAAACGAGCAAGATGAAGTTTGGAGTAGAAGAAAATAACTAGGCCTAAGTAATAATCTTGCTTTGATAGTCATGTTCTGGTAATTGTATATGCAAACGCTGCTACAAAGTACGCATGGAAAAAACAATTTCATTTATCAATAGTTCAAGAAATTAAAAATCGATAGTTATAAAAAGCGGACTATACGACCTAGCTAGCCTCACCATTTCTAATTATTTGATATTAGGACATTTCCTAATATTTACGTCTTATTGGTAGTTATAAAAAGTATACATAATCTATCGTAATACTTTCTTTAGTTTATGTTTTCTTAATCTATACTACATATTGTATCATGTCGTACTTATGATGAGTCTCAATTTAGTATTTATTTCCGCTAGTTTTGCTAAGAAAATGGAAGTCCCTTAGTCTAAAAAACAGTACTTTTCTTAATTTGGTAAATGTCACGCCCCGAACTAGCCCCGAATGGAACTAGCCCGTGACGCTCCAAATTAACCTGTTAATCGATACCAGTCCCAGGAAACAGTGCTGGTATCATAGGAAGACAAAATATCACAGCAACAGAGGTCTCTTTATTTTAGAGTAGGATTACAGTCATGTTGGGCTGCGGACAGATCTCGAGCTCACAACTGCATTACAAAAGGGAAAGCGGAAGCCAAGACATGGACCAATCATCACAGGCGCGACTTGGGAACTAAGCCGAAACCCTAAAACTCATCGTAGCCGACTTGCTCCTGGAAGAACTCCTCGTCAGCGGGATCCACATCATCTTCTTCAGCAACTTGGGGGGGGGAATTATTTATATAGAGCAAGGGTGAGTATAGGAGTACTCAGCAAGCCATGGGAAATAAGTGTTTAATGCAGGCTTCAACGGGAAGGCTGTTGTTTTTGCAATTGATTTTATTTAAACTCCTCTTTGAAACAACTAAGTGAGTGCTTCTCAAATGACACGGATGAGACAGTGCGTCTCGCCCGGTCGGAGTATGTGCAATGTATCAGTCTTTGAATTGATCAAGGTTGGCACCCGGCCAACAGCTTTCAAACGGCCACCCGGGCCTGGCTGATCACATCAGCCGCAGATTTTCCAAACCTCGATCCCATTTCACGACATCAATTTCACAAAGCAGTAGTCAAACAAAACTACGCTAGGAATCACCTCACATCCGCCCACTACCGTGGGCACGACTGTTCGAACAGTTTAATAACCTCTGCAGAGGGGGTACACTTTACCCACACGACATTACTAACCCGGATCACCCAGCCCGTGCAGAACGGCCACGTCTGGAGACCTTGAGGCTTTCATGACAAGGCATTTCGAAAGCCGACACAGGTTTACCATATGCCAATGAGAGGGGTCCCAGACCAACACCAGGTTAGGTCCCAGACCATACTGTGCCAGGAAGCCCGGGGGTTCTCCCCGACACCACCCCGTTGAATCCACATGTCTCTTGGCATCATGGCTCCCCTGATTAGCTAATTACTCAGCCAGGGGCGTCCCATTACACCCATGTGGTCGCACTTGCCTTATGTTCGGATGAAATTCCAAGGAAACGGTCCTTAGGTGCAAGAGCGGGAAACCGTACGCCCGGTATGTTCCCCGGTCCGCGATTTTAGAAATTCATTTAGTTCGCAAGCACCGATCCATGTGTCGGGTTTTCCAAGTCTTTTGTAAAACCTCAAGTTTTACCCATCGTTGGATATTTTAAATTCGAGGGGAGGTGTTCCGATGCCCGTGCTCGAAGGCCCGTGCATCGAAGCACATCAGTCGACAAAGGGGGTTTAAGTGTTCAATAATTCAAGGAGGGTAATTGCAGCAATTAGGATTGGGACCGACATGCTATCTCACAAGCCGCGGCCGAAATACTTGTGTTAAACCTATTCATGCAATACTTGCAAAAAAGAAATACTTAGATTTAAACTATAGGTGCAAGATGATCAAAGGTGACTTGCCTTGCTCGAGATCTTGAGCTTGATCCTCGAAATCTGCGCACTCAGGGTCTTCGGGCTCCGAAGCTACACACGAATGAGACGACTCAACAACGGCGAAAATAAAGCCCTATTATTGACCTCTAAGCGTGCCATTTGGTAGATCTCGAGATTTGAGAAATTTTGGAAGTTGAACGGAGTCAAACAGATGTACGGTTGAGAAGATATTGAATTTCTAAGATTATTGGATTTTTGGTCTAAAGGAAAAAAGATTTAATTAAACCATTTTGGAAAAAAGAAAAGAAAGAGGGAGGGGAATTAAACTTCCCTCGGGCGGCTAGGGCGCGGCCCGAGAGAAAAGGGGCGGCTCGGCCGAGCTAAATGGGCCGGCCGGCCCGAGAGGACACGGCCCAATAGGGCGCGGGGGGGGGGGGCAGAGAGGGAGCCGGTGGACCGGGTCCATCTCGCGTGGTCCCGAGTGGGACCCGCTTGTCAGCGGCTCGGCTCACCGTGCGGAGGGAGCACGCGGCGCGGCGCTAGGGTGTGGAGCGGGGCGCGGTGCATGTGCGTGGCTCGCGGAGGATGCGGGTACGGCGGGCCCACGCGCAGCCTCACGGCTCACCGTGGACCACGCGCACGGGGAGGGCAGAGGGAAGCGGCGGACCGGGGTCAGCTTGACCCGGTCGCGGCCGAGGTGGCGCCGACGTGGCGCCTACATGGCTGCCACGCGGGCCGGCGGGAGGTAGACGACGACGTCGGCCGGAACGGACGGCGGACGGCGGCGGCGAGCGGCGGAGCGAACCACGGCGATACAGGCGAAAGCGAGCACACCGGGAGGTTGCACGGGACGAGGGGAAACGAGCCAACGGCTCGGATTCGCCGGGGGATGCTCGACGGCGGCAGATTGCGGCGGCGGCAACCGGCGGCGAGAGAAGGGGGAAACGGCGACGGCGCGACGGGAGACCGATTCGGGCGAGCTAGAGCATCTACGCGACTCCGGGAATTCGTTCCTAGCGTCGGATTGGGCGGAGCTACGCCGAGCGAGGCCGGCGACGAGCGGGCGCTACGGAGCACGGGCGGCGACGGCGGCGAGCACACAGCGAGCGGCGGCAACGGTCGGGGCGGCGCCAGCTAGCTACGGGGAGGCTACTCGTGCTACTACCCGAGTCTAAGGGGAGGAGATGGAACGAGGAGGGAGAACGGAGGGAGGCACTACCGTGCGGGGTGATGGGGCGCAGTGACGAGGGGCCGACGGCATGGGAGTGATCTCTCCGGCCTTGGGCCGGGGAAGAGGAAGAAGACAAGCGCCCGGAGTCCCCTTCCGCGTCCTAGCGCGCACCGGCTCCTCCGGCACACGCGACGGCGGCGGTCGGCGAGAGAGATAGAGGGACGACAATGGCGTGGGCGAAAAACGGGGAGGATTGGGAGGGGGAAAAAGGAAGGGAGGGCGCCTGGGTTTATAGGGCGGCAATGTCGGTTTGGAAACCGACCTTGGGCGGTCAAGGCGCGAGCTGGCGCTCGGCGCTCGCGGCCAAAACGGTGACAGAGGCGGATGACGCCGGCGGGGAAGAGAAAAGGAAAAAGGAAGGGAGAAAGGGGGGCTTACCCCTTGCCTCTTTGGGAAAAGGAGGGAGAGAGGGCGATGAGGAGGAGCCCTGCCTCCTTTCCTTGGAAGCACGCGCGGGGAGTGGCGGGGCCGAGTTGTGACGACGGCGATGACGGCGGGGGCGGTGTGGAGCGGAGCGGCAACACGGGCGGCAGGCGCGGACAGGCGCGACAGAGGCTGACGGCGGCGGCGACCAGGCGGTCGGCCACCACGGCGTGCATGCGCGGGAAGCAACGGGCGGCGCGGCGATTTGGGCGGCGTCGGCGGGAAGCGGCAGCGAGGGCGGAGGGCGCTCGGCTCGGCGCGGCTCACGCGCACGCGCGCGCGGCGCACGTGCAAAGCGGGGGAGAGGGAGAGAGAGAGAGAAAGAGAGAGAGAGGGAGGGAGAGATGGGCCGAGAGGAATTCGGCCCATCGAACCTGAGGGAGGCAAAATAGACTTTTGCGGAGGGATTTGAACTCGGGATTTGAACTTGACGATAGATCGGGGATTTGAGATCCGGAATGGCACGGAGACTGACTGCAAGCGAAGAAACAATTTTCGCAATTAGGGTTTTTTTAGAAATTACATTTTCCCGCTAGGCGCCACGACGGAACGGGCGCTACAGTAAATTATGAATTAAGAATTAAAAACGTATTCACGTTTGAGTCACAATTTATTGTTTTTATTAAATTAATAGCTCTGAAATTTAGAACTAATAAATTGTATACTTAGCCTAGATTGTCAATTACACTTTTTTATGATTTAATTAATTATCGAGTTATTTTTATTCAAGATTATTTAGTTTTTTCTACGCTTTAAAAAAATTCTTTGTCTAATGAATTTAAAATTCAAGAATTAATAATTATCATGTTGCATCTACAATGCACTATTGTTTGATCTAAACCGTCATAATTCGGTCTCACCCGAATGGCTTAGATTTATTCTTATAACACAATAATTTTCTATAAGTACCCATTTGGTATAATTACATGCAATGTAAACATATGTATATTTATAGATATACAATTTATCTTCCCTGAGCCAGTTAAAATTTTCAGCCGTCATGACTGGACACATGAAACTTTCACATGTTGCTTTTGTTGACGTTATCCAGTGGTTTAGAGATTGGTCAAGTGGTATGCACCTTATTAAACAAAGAAATCACAAAAGCAATTCCAAACACAGACATTCAAAAAACGTTCCACTTGTTGAGTTTTTCCTCGTTCCAGATTTGTCAAACAGGCAGCCCTTCTATTGATCAGATCAAATCGGACGACCACCTAAAAAAATGTCGTGCGACCGATTCTCGCACCTCAAAGTAGTAACGCATTCTAGACTCCAGAGACTCTTCAACGCAACGCCAGATATCCGCACGCCACAGAAATGTGGGCCAGGCATACTGCTGGCCCCACCAGTCGGTCTCTCCATTGCTGGAAGCTTTCCGGTCAAAACTGTCATACGGCCGGCAGCCGCGCGAGAAACCACAGAACCCAACCGCCAATCTCCGGACACATCCAGAATCGCAACTGCTCTCCATCCACCTCACGTACAAACGCAACGCGTGCACCGAAAATTCTTCGCGGATGACCTGTACACGGGACGCGCGCGGGTGCACACCTATACTATAAAAACTGCGACCTCACAATTTTTCGCGAGGAGAGGAGAGCAACACAGTTTTCTTTCCCTGATCGATCGATTACTCGAGGCGATACCGCGTTAGATCGATCGATCGATCTTCGTTTAGTTTCTGGATGGAGCGGAGCAGCTCGTTCGGCACGTCGTGGGCCGACCAGTGGGACTATGGCGGCGACCCGAGCCCGCGGGCGGCGGCGCGGCGGGACGGCCACGGCGGCGGCAAGAAGCAGGGCGGCGTGGAGAAGACCAAGGCGGCGGCGGCGACGGGGCTGAGGAAGGTGAAGGAGGGCACGGCGCACGGGTTCCAGTGGATCAAGGACAAATGCCAGAAGAAGAACGCCGGCGGCGGCAAGAAGCAGCAGGCTGACGAGGAATCGGGGATCGCTGGGTACTAGGCTGTTTTTACTGTCAGACCAACGATTTGGTTGGTTGATTAGGTAGACGCAGTTTTATTCGTAGGGTTGTGCTTATGCATGTGTGTATAATAATAGTTGGGGCATGCCAGCTTATTTGCTGGATTTTGTACAGTAACTTTCTCCGTTTCACAATATAAGTCATTCTAGCATTTCTCATATTTATATTGATGTTAATAAATCTAGACTGTCTACCTACATCAATATAAATGTGAGAAATGCTAAATAACTTATATTGTGCAACGGAGGGAGTACCTTCATGTAGATGGACATGTGAATCAATATCGATTGATTCGTTGTTTTTTTAGCGCATCGCTCTCGGTTGATATGATAAATTTTGATGTTGATCGGTTACAACTTACAACACCGTAGTATCACCCAAAAGATAGGATGCGTCGTGATCATTTTCACTTTCATCTGTTCTGCAAGATGTAGCTTGATGATTTGCGAGGACACTTCAAAACTGAATCTTTGCCTGAGGCTAAACCATCCGGCCTAACCTGCTCCCACCTGAGTGGCTGAGTACCTGACCTTCGGTCGCCTTCACCTGTGGTCGACTGTCGATGGGTCGGCGCCGGTGATGTGGATTTCCGGTGGAACACAGAAAGCAGATAACGAGTGAAATCGACATGACATATTTTTGTCAAGGAAAAACTATGAATGGTACCGCATCAGAATTCCAGTACTGCTTTGAATACCAGATCAGTACTGTACAACATCAGCAGTTCAGCACTTTAGTACAGTTTTGAATTAGATGGATAGTATATACTTAGGATTTGAATACCAAATCAGTACTGTACAACAACAGCACTAAAATGTTTCGAATTAGACGAACATATATATGCTTACTTTTCAAAGTTCATAATGGGGCAATAGCACTATTGGGATGGAGAAACTAACAGGAAAAGGACATATGGTAGGTAGGTAGGTAAGTTGATCCCTGGATAAGTTTAACCTCAACAACACTAATTTCTCACCGAAAACTCCTAAAGGGAGCTGGAAAAACAAAAAAAAGAAGAACATTCTTCAGTGTCAATGGTTACCTTACCAGTCGATACCAGCTGAAAATTTCACCACCATAACTCATGTACTGATCTTATGAAAAGAGAAACCATGTACTACTAATCGATCTGTCTATGTGATGTGTTTAACTACTTAAATTTCCCTGAAAAAACTGATAGTGAAATTCATATTGCAGAAAAGACAAGCAAACAGGACAACATCTGTTCCCACTGATATGGCTATTATCTAGGTGCTAGCTGATGTGGAGTTCACTCATCTTCATTTCCCAGCGTAAGCATTGTGGTTTCCTTTTTCCATGTACTTCCTGCATGATGAGCTGATTGCAGTTCCTAACTTGTTTTATTGCACTACTTGCAAATCTATATTAGTATTACAAATATTTTAAGATCCAGCGTCCCAGACGTTGCCAGCTCTCCTCTGAAACGTTGTTTCAACAAAGTTCAGACCAAATTCTTGAGCCATCGCCATTTGATGCTCACAGCCATAGGTCATCCCCATCCGATCCTTTTCTCTTTTTGCCTATACCCTTTTGGTTACTAGATGGCCAGTTAAATTCTTGCAAACTGCACATCCAATTCAGCATTCACTAGCTTCACAAAGGTTCATCTTATTTATTCTGCGAAAATGACAAGTAGTGGCATCAAAAGTTCACTATGAAGTTCAAAGTTGACCTTATTCATTCTACAACAGATCATTGAACAGGAGGAAACAAACAACATATACTACCTAGTACATGCCAAGCCTAGTAGTACTGGACAATCTGCAGGTTCTAGGACTTTTGACAGAGGCCATCACTGAAGTCTGAAGCTACAAGATGGAGTATAATTGAGCACTAGCCACTTAATTCTGATGGTACCTCCCCTCCTCAACCCTCTGCTTGAACTTCTCCTTCTCGTCATCTGACTCCCCGACCACTGCTTCCTTTGTTTCGTGCATCGTTTCCTTTGTTTTCTCGCTTACCTCGTCAGTCTTCTCCTTGGCCACCTTGAGGAATTGTTCCGCTGTTGATCTTGCCTTCTCTCCGATTTCGGTCACTGTGTTCTCATCTTTCCCCGTTGAGAGGAACTGACAATATTACAAGAAAATGGAACATTATAAACACACTAGTCGATACTACAAAAATTGACATCGTCATAAATTAGATTGCAAATTTTCAACCGCGTAGTGACTGCAACTACAAATCGAGTTGTAGTACTCATCAATTAGACTGGAACCGTAAATCTGAGTTGTTAACTGAACATTTTGGCCTCTCGGCTTTGAGCAGTAGCTTAGAAATATGCCCTCTTATGAACAAATCACAGTATTTTTTTATGGAGTATTTGGCGACAGTAATACAATGATGGAGAAGGCATGAGATCCAAAAAGTAAATCAGGAAGCGGGAGGACAAGATAACTCACCCTGGAGAGAAGAGCATCGTTGCAAAGTGCAGGCCTGACAGGAGATTTGCCCAACAAACCCCTGGATGGAGAAGAAAACAGCCCACGAACAAGTAACCTCTTCATCTCCTCCACAGTATCAACTTGTCCTAAAAAACACAGCAGATACTGTATTCAACTTTGCTCAAACTCGACGCAAGAAGGCACTCACGGCAGGGAGGATGGCAGGGAGGATGGGGATGGCGTTTTGGTGAGGAACTGCAACTGCTGCCTGCTGGTATCTGTCCCATAAAAAATGTTGGGGACTGAACTCTGAAGAGGGAAGACAGGTCGCGTCTCTTTTTGCAACGTGGCAGAAGAGAATCTCGGCACGTAACCGTGAGAGCATGCAAGGCATACCAGCGTGGCCATCTTTTGCGCGATTCGTGTGGCCGCTGCCTTGCCTACCTCTTGGGATGTGTGAACTCGTGGTTTTTTAGGGTAAAGTTTATGGTTTCCGTTACTGAATCCGATGATTTGGGTGTCACACGTCGACGCAGGTAGGAACGAGAAGAAAACATTGGTTTATGTTAGCCTAAGAGCACCCGCAATGATAAAGTAAGGTGCTCTCTATAAAACATGTACATCTCAGCAATATACTATATTAATAGTAAACCACCTCAATAGTATGTCTACATGTATATCTATAGTTCTCTCATTTATTGACTCGTTTTTCTTTATAGACTATCTCCATGTTAGTAGATAGTTTTACTCTCTCTCTTTATTTAATCTCTTTCCTATTTTTTCAAGTAGAAAAATATGCTGATATGGATCTCTTGTAAAGAACCTGTAGATAACTATTGCGGGTGCCCTAAACGAAGGAAGCAGTGGTCGGGGAGTCAGATAACACAATTGTTTGGAGTCTGGAATAATCGACAGAGCCAACGTAAGCACGTAGCTCGCGGGCCGCCCTTTTCCTCCCTTCGCTCGCAATGGCGGCGGCGCCATTTGTACTTTGTACAACGGCGATCTGTCCCGTTCCCGTGCGTTTGCATCTGCGAGGCCACCGGCGCCGGCGGTGGCACTTGGACGGAGGTCGCTGCCGCCGGCGGTGGGGCACCGGACGATCGAGTGGGTTGGGCGTCTCCTGCGCCTGACCGAGTGCAAACTTGGCCCAAGTGATGCGGGCTTTCGAAGACCAAACTGAGGAGAAACGGGCCCAACAAGGTTGTCACGCACGAGGCACGACGGCCTTATCGGCCATATGGCCATGTCGGCCTTATCATTTAGGCCCACCTGTGAAAACGCTGACGATGACGACGACTCAGTCGGACGGATCGGCGCCGGCTCGCCCTACGCCTCCGTTCCTCGAATCCTCGTCCAACGCGCCCGCGCGCCGCGCGAGCACAACTTCCTCGGCAGTCGGCACCCGACACACGCGAGCCCCGCGCTTGCCAAAATGCCAAGTTGCCATCCTTTCGCACGAGCGCGCGCGCGGTCGAAGCCCCCAATCCCCAACGAACTTGCCATGCTAGCTTGATGCTTCTAGCCTTTCTAGCTCCGCCACCGCCGCCGCACGCTACATACCGCACCATGCCCAAACGCCCAATCCTCCATGAAGGCAGCGTAAGGCCGCACGCACGTAAGGGTTCCGCGCATCGTGACGTCATAGGTGCGTGTCTCTCCGTTTATGCGAGGCCGGCAGAGAGCAGAGCAGCAGTGCGCGCGTGCATGTGCAGCAAGGGCCTGGAAGGACAACGGTATGGGAGAACGAGACACGTACACGCCATGGCATTGCGAATTTGTGATTGTGTGTTGCGACCGGTAGTGCTCACCGCCAAATGGCACCATCACGCCGGTGACGACCATAAAACCTTCTTGCGTGTGGGGGCGCTCGATCACCTCGCCAACTACCGGTCTACCACATTGTGAATCGTGATATATCCTGATCTGATCCTTATTCTATCGACAATACGGAAGCACGCAAGCAACAGATTGGTCTATGTTATCTATCGTGCGATGGATGACCACTAGTCCATTTAGGCACTTGCCCAAAGGCTCTAGCCTTTTTCCCTTTTCCGATCGATCGATCGATTATTGCTGTACTGCATTTGCATATCGGTTGGTTATAGAAAGTAACGGCAACGATCGAGGCATGGGCGCATGGCATGGGCCGGTGGCGCTCATGGCACTCGTTGCGTGATTCTTCATCGGTAGCTAGTGAAATCATCATCTGTTCCAAGCGGATACTCCATCAAACAGTACTATCTTAGTAGTTCCTAAAATACTTGTTATAGTTATTAGCCATGAGTTGTGATTATGACTTATGAGTAGTGGTCAAATATAATTCGACTGCCTTATCACTTTATAGTTTAGTCACCATCGATACACATATGCTGTTATGCAAGCACGTGTGGACGCATTGCTACAGAATAAATTACGTATGCTCTGAGAGATGCGCCTTAGAGTACAATTCAATGATCGATATATTTCTGACTGTGTTTGCTCCGACGGCCAGACTTGCACGAAAAATTGACCATATGCATGGAACTGTAGGATATATACGACTATCTTATGATATTCACACATGTACACACGTACAGGTATTTGGAGTGCTTAGCACGCATTCAGGAGGCAATAGCCCAATACGCCGTTAGGTAAGTACTGTACGTATGTACGTAGCCAATACTAGCTCCTCTGTTGCTTGCATGCCATGCAAAGATCAACTCCGAATGTAGTACTCATGTTCCGCTTTTTCGAGGTTGTCTTGTTTGTTCTTCTTCAGAGCAGGTCCAATAACAGACTATAAGCCAGTTGTAAACATATTTTAAGAACATAAATTAGAAGAGAGAAAGGCAGCGGGCTACAGATTTATAGCCAGCTGTAGCACGAACTCTAAGAGACAGTGTGTGTATGATAGGTGGGACCAGGTATTAATAGTGTACTTCCTTCGTTTCATAATATAAGTCATTCTAACATTTCTCACATTTATATGGAAATTAGTGAATCTAGATATATAGATGTGGGAAATGCTAGAATGACTTACATTATGAAACGGAGGGAGTAGTATGTAACTATTGTATGAATGAGCTATTAGATTGGCTATAAATGAATTGGAGCTAGTAGTTGACTATACTATTGAACTTGCTCTCATGTGGTAGTACTGTAGTAGCTAGTAACTGATCACCGATTAAATTCCTATTAAGTACTCCCTTCATATTTTAATATATGATATCGTTGACTTTTTAACCAACGTTTGACCACTCGTCTTATTCAAAAATTTTATGCAAATATAAAAATACTTATGTCATGCTTAAAGAACATTTGATGATAAATCAAGTCACAATAAAATAAATTATAATTACATAAATTTTTTGAATAAGACGAAAAGTTAAACGTTTGTCAAAAAAATTAACAGCGTCATATATTAAAATACGGAGGAAGTATCAAGGACTCCTCTTTCGATCAGAGACAAATGGTCATGGTTTTGATATATGTCGCTGTCACCAGTTAACCACTTGCAATTGCAAAGCGAGCTAGCAGGTGGGGGAAGTGTGGCTAATTGACAATAAATCACGAAAAAAAATTAACAAGTGACGATCCCTTGATGGTCAAGCTAGCCTCGCACAGGCCGGGCTATGCATACATGTCTCACTGATCGATATGGGTATGGTGTGCATGCGAATGGGAGGAAGAAAAATCTATGCGATGGGGCTTGAAACCAAATCTCCAGTCCCAAGGCCTCATCTTATATTCTCGCCACCTAGTATAAAAAATCATGGTACTTTGTTTAAACTATTATAAAACTACAAAATTTAAAACCATGTATCACAAAACTAAAATGTTATCATATAATTATATATTTAAGACCAAATATCGTATAACTAAAATTTTATCATTAGCACCACTGTTATATTGAATGTTATATTTCCTGGTTAAATTTACACTAGATCTTTAGTTCCGTAATTTGTTTTTACTAAATACTCTCTCCGTTTCACAATGTAAGTCATTCTAGTATTTTATATATATATATATATATATATATATATATATATATATATATATATATATATATATATATATATATATATATATATATAGATTCATTAACATTAATATGAATATAGGAAATGATAAAATGACTTATATTGTGAAACGGAGGGAGTATGTTGTTTTAATTTGTGTTGAATCTATAGTTTCATAACAAATTTGATACTAAATCTATATTTTTATGGTACATCAATTTTAATACGTAATTTTTACCATAGTTTCTTCAAAGTAGATGTTGTTTTATAAATCGTGGGAAGCGGAAGCGCATGCAGCGGCCGCTTGCCGTTGTTATGAACGGATACGATACGTGTACCACTTTGTGTGTGTATAAATTGATAGCAGCGTGCCTCTCTTCTTCTTCACTGTGGTCACCTGCAGTTTGCCCCACAGCCATTCCAAGCACATATTCCCTGCACCCTGCTAGCTACCTTGAGTTGCAATTCATCCTTTTGGCAGTAAAGTTCTTAGTAATATTACCCAGTTGCTACGTAGCAGCTCGCTGAAGAACAAAGGAACCAATCCCACCTATCTGAATCCACACATAAACAGTAGATTCTTGTTCTCGCTTGGATAGCTACAGCCTACCTCTGCAGGCGCTATGATGAGGCTGAAAGTGACGATACTGGTGGTAGCATTTGTTCTCAGCGCCGGCGTGCATATCTCGGCGGCGGCGGCGGCCGCCGGCCAGAGGGAGGAGGTGCACCTGGTGCCGGCGGTGTACGTGTTCGGCGACTCGACGGTGGACGTCGGGAACAACCAGTACCTGCCGGGGAACTCGCCGCTGCAGCTCCCCTACGGCATCGACTTCCCGCACTCGAGGCCCACCGGAAGGTTCAGCAATGGCTACAACGTCGCCGACTTCATCGGTCCGTGCATATTTCGCCTCAAATTGTTTGGAGCAATGTAAAATTTCTGCTAATAATGGAACTCACGATGTGTGTGCATGGATGAACAATTGGTTCAGCGAAACTGGTGGGATTCAAGAGGAGCCCGCCGGCTTACCTGTCGCTGACGCCGCAGACGAGCCGTCAGCTCATGCGAGGCTACCGCGGCGCCAATTACGCTTCTGGAGGATCCGGCATTCTCGATACCACTGTAAGGACATGCTTGGATACAGCAAGAAAATTTCATCTTCTTGTAGAAACTGTGCAAGGAATTTACTACTGGTAGCCTTTTCTTGTACTCAATAATTGGTTAATATAGTATTTGAGTGAGTGTAGTAGTTGAATGAATGCGACCGATCTTGGTACATGTGTGTCTGATTATCTTCGTGTACTCGTCGATCGATCAGGGGACAACCGTCGTCACGCTGACAAAGCAAATCGTGTACTTCGCGGCCACCAAGTCAAAGATGATGTCGAACGGCGGCGGCGATGGCAACAGCTCGTCGGCGTCGGCGTCGGCGATCGACGATCTGCTGTCCAAGTCTCTCTTCCTCATCAGCGACGGCGGCAACGACCTGTTCGCGTTCCTGAGGCAGAGCAACCGGACGGCGAGCCAGGTGCCGTCCTTCTACGCCGACCTGCTGTCCAACTACACGCGGCACGTCCAGGCGCTGTACAGCCTGGGCGCCAGGCGGTTCGGCATCATCGACGTGCCGCCCATCGGGTGCGTGCCGTCGGTGCGGGTCACCTCGCAGGCGGGCGCCACCAGGTGCGTCGACGCCGCCAACGACCTCGCCAGGGGGTTCAACTCCGGGCTCAGGTCGGCGATGGCCAGGCTCGCCGGCTCCGGTGCTCTCCCGGGGATGAGGTACTCCGTCGGCAGCTCGTACAACGTGGTGTCCTACCTCACGGCGAACCCGGCCGCCGCGGGGTTCAAGGTGGTGAACAGCGCGTGCTGCGGCGGCGGCCGGCTCAACGCGCAGGTCGGGTGCGGGGCGCCCAACTCCACCTACTGCGGCAACCGCAACGGGTACCTGTTCTGGGACGGGGTGCACGGGACGCAGGCCACCTCCAGGAAGGGCGCCGCCGCCATCTACTCCGCGCCGCCGCAGATGGGCTTCGCCTCGCCCATTAACTTCAAGCAGCTTGTTTCTTCTTGATGCAGATTACGCTAATTCATCTTGATATATATCGTAGCAATACTATACACGTACTCGTACTATTGATGATGCATGCCGGCAGCTAAAGTTAGCTATAAGAGGAAAAGAAATATTTGCACTCTTGATTCTTTTTAGAACGAGAGTGATAGAGATACAATAGACGAATCACATCATTTTAGAGGCATGTAAAAGTTGCAAACTAAGGCCAAATGGCCTGCAAATAAACTCTTGAATAAACTATCAGGTTGCGAAGTGAGTATAGCTCAACTAGTTGAGTTTTTTGTGGTGTACTGTAATACTGTTCACCTAGATTTTAAGTCTTATACTTAACATATGTGCTCGCATTTACGATTAATTATTCTTTTAGTTGTAGTCGACGTACCACTAAAATATCTTTGGTGACCTCGTCAATTTTAAGATACGCTAGCTGAGGTGCTCGTTGAGATAGTGTATGTGTGTGCGCCTTTGTAAGGGCTCGTGAACTGCAGGCTTGTGGCCCGTTATAGTTCTGGGCCTGTTGATTCGGCCCATATAGTTTAAGCCCATTTTGGGCCTGCTTGGAACTCGGAGCGAGAGCGAGCAAATTGGAGAATCACATGAAGGCGTATTTCTGCGTTACGCTTTGTTCTTTCGTGGGCGGGGGGGCAAAAACGCAACGCCAAAACAACCCCGCGGGCCGCGGCGCGAACTCTCCGGTAGCCTCTCGAGCGAGCCGACACGAGCTTCGAAATCGCAAACCCAGCCACGCCTCCGCCGCCGGCATGGCCATGCTTCTCCGCCGCCGCCTCCCGCTGGCCCGCCTCCTCCGGCCGCTGCAGGCCGAGGCGGCGGCTTCCACTACCTCCTCACCGCCGCCTCTCCAGAACCGTCCCGCCGCCGCGTCGCCTTCCCACGCGCTGGGATCACGTTTAGGGTTTTTGAATGGGGTACCAGGTGCCCCGGGGGCGCGTGAGGCTTCGGCGTTCACTACGGCCGGCTTCCTCGCCGCCGGCGCGGCCGCCGCTCTCGCGTCTCTGCCGGTGGCCTACGCCGATGCCAATGAGGTGGTGTTTATTTTTCCTGTTTGAAATTTTAGTGGCGGCATTTTGGAGGTGAGATTTTGCACGGGCTGAGTTTGATTTTGTGTTACAGGGCGTTGTAGACTCGGCTGTAAGCTCTGATGCGGCTGTGAAACCTGTGAACCCTGATGCGGCTGTGAGCTCTGATGTGGCGGTGGGGGAGGATCTGGCCCATAAGGAGAGGAAGAGGATAATAGAGCTCATTCAGAGCCGAGGGATGCCACACGGGTCATACCCGCAATTTGATGTGGCAGTGAAGGGCCAAAAGGTTGTCCTCCTCTCCCAAACATTTAGGCCATATCACTGTTGCTTGTTAGTGCTGGAAAATATCTTTTTTTTTTCAGCGGTTTTATAAATCTGAGTTAATTTTACACTTTATATCAAATTGGGCCACTAGGCTTTAGAGTTGGTTTGGAACTTTGTGTGATTGGAGCAATTGATTCAGTGATTAATGATATATGGATTTGGGATGTATTGTCGTGACTACTGAAGTAGACACACTAAAATTTGAGTTAGTTAAGTCTGAGTATCAGTGCAAGGATAATGTGATGTATGATTTTTTTTTTAAAAAAAATTGTAATTGTGCGTGGTTGCTTCTAGATCACAACAATGAAGGTTGTGGATTTGACATGCCTATTCTGATTACAGTTCTGGCAGTTGCATAGCTTATCTCTCTGCCATTGGCAAAGCATCTACAACAATGTGTAATCTTCAGTCGCTCATTTGATAATTATTGTTAATTTTCTCTGACTCAACTTGTTTCTTTTTCTGATAGGTGGTCGTTAAATTTAATGTACCATCAACTTGTAGCTTATCAGACCTTATTGTTGATCTCGTAACACATATCGGACTTGAGGCAGAACAAGGTGGTGGCGGCTCTGAGATGCTACTGCGTGCTTGGAACAGGTTAGCAAAAGAAACTGGCTGTTATTCACTTCACCATAACCATTATCTGGTGATCTTGTCCTATTCATCGCAACCACAAACAGTACTGTTTCAGCTTTGATCTGTATTGTGTACGTTTTCTTGTGGCCATCTTTGTTATGTATGTATGTTCATTCTCTGCTTCTAGGCTGCACAAATTAGATCTCTGGCCCATGATTTCTATCTGTCTAGATGTAACTTAGTTGTAGCTATAAGTAGTAATGTTTCTTTATCCATGTCTTTATGGATTCCTCTAATTTCAAAGCCTTAACCCTGCAGCCCCCGCTCCCACTTTCCTAGTTATTCCTATCATCAGTGTTTCTGATACAATCTCCCTGCAAATAGCATAATGATCTTTATCCACGTCATAGATCCAATGTCTGCCAAGTTCCTAATATTTATTATGTTTTAATCAAGTGCGTCTGTTCCAGTGTAGCTGCACGTCAGATAACGTTGAACCCTCACAAGAAGACAACGAGCAATGGAGATGACAATGAAGATGATCTTTGTGTCTTGATATTTGAACCACTTGTGGGATCTCAATATTCTGTCAGTTCCTATGTATCCTTTATTAAGATATTGAAAGCAATATGTACTGCCCATTTATCATCATGTTAAGATTAAATGCAATTCCTTAACATTATGTGTATTTTCAGGAAGTTGAATTCATCAAGCGTGGTGGATTTAGTTTGAGAGAGCTTGAAGCTTTGACAAGTGTTTTGAAATTAGTGGGCCAGAAAGATGTTAAGCAATCATCAGGGAAGGGCAATAAGTCATACACAACAAGAAAAGGAAATGGTCAGAGATCCAAGCATGTACCATCTATGGAAAAAACTATATCTGATTTAGAGGGTATGGGAGTTCGGGTCTATGGATTTGATGAGACCTCAAGTATTCCAATGGATGGTAGTGGTACTGTTATGTGGGAGAACATTGCTGGATATGAACCTCAGAAAAGGTTTGTTTACTACAACTCTATTTTGTTTTTCTCATTTGTAAGTTTTGAGATGCTTTGTGTGTTCAAAGCACAATAAACATTTTTCATATCCGTAACTTTCACCACTCAAAGAAGCAAATAATTTGCATTAGATTAAAATTAGTATCGTGGATATATTATCTACGTAATTATGTGTGTGATTGTCTAAGCATAGGGGATAAACATTTCCCTGCACATATATTTTTTCCTTCATGGTTATTTGGCATTTCCTTGACATTTGACACATCACGAGTCCTGTTTGCTGCTCGTCAAAGCTTCCTATTGGGCAATTCCTTCTATGTGTTCCTTCTGAAAGTATAGTTTTTAAACTTGGTGCATGTTTCTTTTTCCATTTATAGGGAGATAGAGGACACTATCCTCTTGGCTTTACAGAGCCCTGAAGTGTACGATGAAATTGCCCGTGCTACACGATGCAAATTTGAGACAAACCGACCTCGAGCTGTTTTGTTTGAAGGCCCACCAGGTGAGTAACCTGAATGGTGCTTTGCGTTGATTGGAGTTTCTGTACCAAGAAACCACTGCCATTGCCTTTGCGTTATCTTGTTTCATGATGTTCATAGCTTGGTAACAGTAGTAGATAGCTTGGTGACACCATTGAAAGTAAATATATGAGATACCCTTTTATGCACTGCTAGTATGGTTGCTTCCATTTCAAGCTGTATTTGCATACTTAACAGTTACTTTGGTCTCATTGTTTCAGGCACTGGTAAGACTTCTTCTGCTCGAGTTATTGCCAAGCAAGCTGTAAGTGATATCTTATTGAGATTGCCCCAAAGTAATTCTGTGTTATAAAAAAAGTGATACTAAGTACTCTCACGTTTTGTAAACTTCTTGATTTTACAAACATGCTATTCCTTTCTTGCAACTTTTAAGCTGAATTGTAGTTGTATTAAGCTGGTTGATTGCCTTTTTCTTATGACAGGGAGTTCCGCTGTTATATGTGCCACTGGAAATCATAATGTCAAAATATTATGGTGAAAGCGAGCGCCTTTTGGGATCTGTTTTTTCACTTGCCAATGACCTTCCTGATGGAGGTATAATTTTTCTAGATGAGGTATGTTTCATCTTTATAGTATACAGGTATCAAGGGCACTTCAACTGTTGTAAAAATGTACAGGAAATATACTGCCTAGCATACTGGAACTGTCAGGATATACCATTGTTCTTTTCTGCTGAAAGGAGTTACTAGTTTGATTTTTGTTGCACTGCTGGTTTCTAACTGATATGTACCACCTTCCAATATGATACTGAAGATCTAGTTTCACCTGAAAAACAACTAAACTAAATGTCATTCATAATATATTCCCGAGCAACACTTTTTAGAACATAATTCTAACGGAGATATATTGTGGATTTGTAGGGTACAAAAACTGTATCACATGCATAGCATGTTTTTCTTCATTTTTATTGGGCAGTTTATAGTATAGGGGCATAGTGAATTTTGTTTGTTGGTTATACTAAGGTATTAATGCAACATCTTGCTATTTGAACGTCCATGTTACAGGTAGACTCTTTTGCTAGCGCTCGAGATAGTGAAATGCATGAAGCTACACGAAGGATATTATCAGTAATTTTGCGGCAGGTAGGGTTTGTGTTTGTTTCCATTTAAACTGGATACTGGTAATCTCTGATGTAAATATGTTTGTTGAGTTTGTCTATACTTCTAACTGTCATTTTTTTTCACTGTCCATCAGTGTTTATTGCAAACTTGGTAATACTGTTTAAACCTGTGTAAAACATAGGAGTTTTAACTCCAATTAAATAAGGGATGGATAAAATTTCACTGGGCTGCAGAAATTATGTATTGTAGCTAAACTATTGTGCAGGATTTTTTCATGTTTTTTTCCTGCGGTTATTTACTATTGCTTTCTTTATTCTGAAAGTCCATTACTGTTCTATTGCTTTCTTGAAGTACTGTAATATGATATAGGCATATAAACCATGTCAGCATTATCACGGAATCTTGAAACCACTAAGTTTTGCGAGAAATCTTTGTATGCAGTCTCTTAGGTGTCACCATCATGCTTATGGCAATTGATGTCCTAGAATATATTTTTTACTGACACTAAATAAATTGTCTCTATGAAGATTGATGGGTTTGAGCAGGATAGACGTGTTGTGGTTATTGCTGCAACAAATAGAAAGGAAGACCTTGATCCTGCCCTCATCAGGTATAGTTTAATCATTCACCTTTTGTTCCTCTTAGCAGCCCAGTTAATTTTTCAGATGTGTGCATGTTTTTGTTTTCTATTGTCATTCTCTTTTTGTTCCTATTACAAGTCCTTGTTAAATTTTCACATGGAGAGTTTGTACATGTTCCCTTGCAAGAATTCATTTCCCAGAGAAGCATATGATATTATCCTTTGTATGGGTTTCTGAAGTAAATATCATCTTTTTTTAATTTATCCCCTTTTTGTGTTGTTAATTTGCAGCCGTTTTGATTCAATCATTTGTTTTGACTTACCGGATCAGCAAACCCGCGCAGAAATATCTGCCCAGTATGCAAAACATTTGACTAAATCTGAATTGTTTCAATTTTCATTGGCCACTGAAGAGTAAGTCCTTTCTGAACCTTCTAGCTCATGGTCTGCATATTTATTTTACCTGTTCATGTCTAGCTGATTGGGCACTTCAAATTTTGATGTTGCATTGGAGTCCTATAGATACTTATCTACCCAGTGTCTTGTAAAGCTTGTTATTTTGGTTTAGTATATTTATGTTTTGTTAAATATATATAAAAGTCATGCTGTGTGATGCAGTCCAGGTTTAAAAATATGTCCTGGAAACGACCACTATCAGGATTCAGCTAGTAGTTCCTGGCAGTTTTGGGCTAGGGTGAATTACCCTACTCTGTTAGTTGAACTTGACGCACATTTGTTTAGAAACCAATTATCTTTCATTAAACATCCAAGTTTCCTCTGGATTGTATTACTAAGATGGTGAAATGCGTTCCATAATCCATTGAAAGATCAGTACTTTCAAGAAGTTCAAAGAAGTATAACGATATTTGTGTCTCTAATACAAATGTAAACACCTCTTCAAAGCTTGACTTCAGTAAGCTGCTTGAAGGAGCTCGCTACCGTTGGATATATTGGGTACACATGGTTGAAAGATCAGTACTTATAAGAAATTCAAAGAATTATAATTATATCTGTGCCTCTGATACACGTCTTCAAAGCCTGTCTTCAGTAAGCTATTTGGCCCTTTTATTCAGAACTGATTTATTGAATTCAAATGAGGTGCTTCATTTTGTAGAGTAGGCTGCATGTGTTCATATGTTCCTTGCTTCTCTATTATTTCACCATTAATCACTGAGTGTTCAGTGCTCGTACCTTTTTAGTCATGGATTCATGTGCGTGTATACTATGGATCATACCAGAAAACATATATAGGCATTTGTGACCATGACTCAGCTAGGTTACATGTGCTCAGTGCTGACCATCACTATACTACTGTAATATCTGGGAACATCATTGGTGATCCGCGTGGCTAGAAATGTGTTCTGTTCTGAAATCTGAACTACAGATAGACTGCCCTGGGCACATGCAGTTCATTTGTCTTGCTAATTATGGATATTGGATGCAGGATGTCAGGAAGAGATATCAGGGATATTTGCCAGCAAGCAGAAAGACATTGGGCATCAAAGGTATGTTATAGTGGTCGAAGCTTATTACCCCCCTTCCCCATGATCAGTGGCTCAGTCGATTTTTCATCTTCTTCTACAGTTGATAAGGGGACAAGTACCAAAAAATGATAAGGGGGAGCCGAGTCTTCCTCCAGTCGAAGAGTATGTTGCATGTTCTGAACAACGCAGAAGATCTTTGCCGAATAGAACAAGTAAGGAATCAAGACTCCCTGCTTTGAAGTTAGCTTGAGGAATGTACTTATCTTTACAGTTCCACACCATATGTTAAATGATGTGTATATAGATTTTAGGCATCTCTTCTCGTGACGCATGCCGGCGCATGAAAATTGCGTTTACCCAAATTTTGATTGTCCTATCACAGCACGACAAAACGTATAATTCTAGAGATGAAGTAACAGTGGGTAATGCATTTTGCAATGTTTGCTGGCCGCCTTGGGTCGCGGTCCTCGAGGATAGGTGATCCGGACCAACAACTCTGGAACTGTCGAGATATCTGCTAGGAAATACTCCTATTTTCCTGAGAAAGCGTAGAAGTTGTGTACGTCAATGCATTAAGAGACAATAAAACAACACAATGTTCTTACAAAGAAATGTACATTGCCTTGGAACTTGTGTACCTATATGCAAGCATGCAGTATTGCCAAATACAATGGTCATAACAGAGAATGGAATTTGAAATCGAATAATGCTAATGCTGGCAAATTTCATAAGTAGAGAACCAGGGCGCATCGCCTTGCACATCATTCGCCCACTGGGCTGCCAGGTCCCGACCAGGCGACCATCGACGCCATACGTGATTACGTGATGCATCCTGCTCATGCCGATGAGTCGCAAGGTCGAGAGTTCTGCAATCCCGAACCACCGGCGGCGCGTCTGCACATTGGGCCAGGATTGCCCATCAAGCCCTCTCACCACAAACAATTAAGCCCGAGAAGGAGATTCCCACGAGCGAGTTGGTCCAGAAAAGGGATTACGCACAGCAGCGCATCCACCCACCATACGAACAACGATTACTACTGGAGACTTCTGAGTTCTGACCAGCGTTACACGTGCATTTGCCATTGGAGAAGGTCCGGACCCCAAAAGATACTTGTTGGGCATGAGTATATTTGGAGGTTGTTTTTATTCTGGGTATGAGACAAAACCATATATGTTCAGTGCATTCGATGATCCGACGCCAAGAGAGAAGACACAGCAAGCGGCAGCATCCCGCGCTGGTCACCGCTTCAACAAAGAAAGCTATTGCCTACCTATCACTCACTGACCATCCATTAGGTGACCGACATTCGACTGGAATGAATGAACGATCCATCGCTCGATTCTGTTGCATGTGCATCCACGACTGCATTCTGCTCCTGAGTCCCGACATCCACTGGTTTCCATTCGAAACGCCTTTGTCTACTCATGTACTGTGCAGGACTACAATTTTCCAGGCAAATATAGTTGATGAGCCAATGCTCTAAAGTATGAGTTATGATCGCCAATTTGCGGATGTTGCCTTTGCGATTATACGTTGTGAGTGTAACAACCATCGAACAGACCGACACTAAACAAAGCAGGGGTCGATCACAATCGCCGCAGTGGACATGGCAGTTACAGAAACGCAATTATATGCTGCCTGAACTGATGGACGGAACATAATCAAATCATCTCTATCACGCGCAGTAATCCGCGAAAGCGACCGCACACTGTAGGCTGTAGCATGCACGAGCTAGCCGCCTAGCCGGCCATCCCACGCGAGACGCTGCAAGCAAAACAGCCACAAACCATCTCAAAAGAAGGCGAGGAAACCCAATGCTGCGCAACAAACCGTCCAGCGAACAGCGGGGCAGATCACGAGAAAACGTCTCGGCTCGCCGGCCATGCTCCACCCGCGCAACTTGGCGAGGAAAATACCCGTGCGCGCGTGAGGCCCGAGCCAGCTCTGCGCGCGCGACGCGGGGATCGGAGCCGTGGAGATTGGAGAAGAAGTGCGTGGCTTGGCTGCGTACGTCCGCCGTGGGTGTGGGCGCGGCTGCGTTTTCGTCCAGTAGCCGGCACGTCCCGGTCGACGCGACGCGATGGCTCCAGAGATCGAGCGCGGAGCGCCGTGGACGCGACACCTCACACTTTCTCTCGCACGAATCGATCCCTCGAGCCGGTGGCGCCCACGGGATGGACTGGGTGCCGTCGTGCGGAGTGCGGAGTGTGGCGTGCCATCCATCAGCCCGGCCATTCCATCCTGATGCTTGGCAAATCTGTACCCGTGTCTCGTCCCTCTCCCTCCTCCTGCAGATCTTCTCCGCTGCTGTCTATCTACGGGTAGGCGTGCCCAGGCTATGCGGCCGAGGACGTTGGAACGGTCACGAGGACTCACGAGTCGTAATCATTGCACCGAGGCTTCAATTTATCATGTTCTTTTGTCAAGGTGTGAGTTTGAAGCACATCGATTGAACTATGCCAGGAATAGAGCAAAGCGATACTACAGAAACACATTTAATACGAATTTAACAATGTAAGCGGACAGAACGCAATGTTTGGCTGTTGTCAGATGACGAACATGCAGTAGTAGTACGAGCTTAATTTGTAAATGACGTGCTCCTAAAATAATCTGAATCTTGAAAACCTGGATGCCAGTGTTTAGTCACACAATGCAGACAGGAAAAATATGAAACTACCGGTAAAATAGTCTCTGCTGTAAGTTAGTGATGTTACTTGATATCAAAATGAAATTAGCTAAGCGGTCTTTTTACTTGCAGGAAAACCTTCTGGTGTACTGGTAGTAAAAAGGTAGTACCATATTGAGTGGATAACAAGCAAAGTTTGCACGTTTACTCAGCATTAAGGCACACAGGTAACCCGTCCCCTTAAACAGATCAAGTAAAGCTCCCTGAGGCCTGAAGAAACAATGACTTTTCAGCCTTTTTGGTAGGAAGGGTTTTGTCTTTTTTCTCATTAGCAATAGAAGGTCAGATTAACTCTACCGTCAAAGCCCTTAAACTCCCGTACATAATGTTAGGTGGGGAACACGCACCAACCCTACTAACATAATTCAGAAGGACTGCACTCTCAGTTAATTAATCGTTCCATCGTGCGCACACCTGGAAAGTGAGACAGTGTTACTGGGAGGTATATAGTGAATCAATCTCAACTAATCGTAAGGACACCCACAATGATTATTTATAGGCTCTCTACAAGAGATCCATGTCAGCATATTTTTCTATTTGGAAGGTATTAAATAAAAAGAGAGAGCAAAACTATCTACTAACTTAGAGATAGTCTATAGAGAAAAACGAGGCAATGCATGAGAGAGCTATAGATACCAATGTAGACATACTATTAAGGTGGTTTACTATTAATCGAGTCTATTGCTGAGATGTATATGTTTTATAGAGAGCACCTTACTTTACCATTGCGGGCGCTCTAAGAACTGTATTAGTGTCCGATGATTGAACGGACTTTATTGTTTTTTTTTTGAACGACTCGCACGAGACGGTGCGAAGTTCTATTGATAGAGCAGGAAAAAATTATAAGATTACGACCCTGGAAGGTCGTAACCAGGAAAAGGAAAAAAATATACCACCACCCGCATATCGACAGCGCCAACACACAACCGGGAGAAGGCTAGCACCGGACCGGCCGCCGCTAAGCGTGACCGACCGCCGCTAGACCAACAAAGGAACACAGACAAGATCGCCCTCTAAGGGATGCCAAAAACGACGTCTTCAAGAAGAGAAGCGACGGAAAAAAACCGTCGCCGCCGTCCGTCGGGGCTCAAAGAAGCCGAGACTAGGCTTTCACCCGGCAACCGCCCTTGAGGGGTGAGGCAGCACGACAACGCCCTCAGGCATCGTTGTCGGCCTAGCCAAGGCCGGACTAGGTTTTCACCCGCCGGTCACCACCTGTGAATCCTCGGCTGACGCACCGATGCTCCACCACCTCTCCAGCTCTGCCGACATGCGGGACCCCTGCACTGGCGTCCTCCGCCGGCCAGTCTTCGTGCGTCGAAGACCGCGCCACACCCACCAGCAGCTCCTCCTCGCACAGAGGTCGTCTCTTCCACCGCCGGCCGCGCCTCTCGCGTCAAGCCGGCCTCCTCCACCGGATGCGCCTCTCGCGCCAATCCGGCCTCCCTCCACCGGACGCGCCTCTCGCGCCAATCCGGCCTCCCTCCACCGGACGCGCCTCTCGCGCCAAGCCGGCCTCCATCTCCGCCGCTCGCGCCTCTCGCGCCGAGCCGGCCTCCGCTGTCATCGGCTGCGCCACTCTGCGCCAAGCCGGTCTCCGACCCCTCCTCCAAACGATGCCGCGCCGGCCCGATGTAGCCGTTTGCCACGCCCTCAACTAGCCGTCCGAGGCCGCCATGCCTCCGGCGACCGTGGTCACCGCAACCGCAGCCACTGCTGCCGAACGCACCACCGCGCCTCCTCACACCGTGCCACAGCAGCCACTGACGCCGCCGCTGCGACGAGCTCCGAGGCCTCTGCCTCCACACTGACGGGCGTTGCCGCTGGTGCCTTAGGCCACAGCCGCGGCTGCCACTGGCACCGCCGCCGTTGCCCATCACCAGCCGCGCCGCCGGTCGCCGCCGTCCGCGAGCCTCGCTCCGCCGACGCCGCCGTGCAGCCGCCATCGCTCGGACCGCTGACACCAGGGTCGGCAGCGCTGCAGCCGTCGCTCGCCCCCGGCGGCGCGAGCACCGCCGCCCGCGCGCATCTCGCCGTCGCAACGGCCGCCGCCGGCTGCCGTGCGAGTCGTCGTCGTCGCGTCGCCGCCCTTGACGCGTCGCCGTGCCGCGGCCTCCTCCGCCACCAGCGCCCACTCCGGCCGGATCCGGCCAGGGGATGGCCAGATCCGGCGAAGGTGATGCCGGATCCGCCGTCTCCTCGCCGGGATCTGCCGTCGCCGTCGCTCCCTAACCGCCGCCTTTCCCACGCTGAGAGGGGTCGCCGCCATGAAGGAGACCCCGCCGCTGCCATCATGGCTCGCTCGCCGGCTTCGGCGGCGGCGAGGTGGGGGAGGGGGGAGAGGAAAGGCGGCGGCGCTGCTAGGGTTTCGCCCCCCGTGTCGCCAGCGCGTGGGCGACGCGGGGGGAGGGGGGGAATGGACTTTATTGTTTGTCACAGAGGAGAGGATCAGATGCTTAATCTCAACACACTCGTTTTAGTTCAGTTTCTTTTCTAAACCAACAGTACGGCTCTAGTTTTTGTCAGTAGAACATGGCCTTATGGGGGTGACGACTAACAATGCGAGTACTTTTGGTGCAGTTTTGCATTGAGATATCATAGCACAGGACTTGAGCATCAGCAAAGTTTACTATATATCTGCTGCGATATCTTGACCGACAGTCATTGCTTTGCTCCTAAGATTGTCGACCAGCAAGCACTATTAGGAGTTAGGACTGACAGCTTCTCCTCAATAATTCACAATAATCACCCCTGCACATAAAACTCAACAGTACTTCCTGTGCAACAATTATAGTAATCAACAGCACTAAAACAATCCATCAATTTACGACTACGAGCTAAAAAAAATAAATCCAAGGACAAGTGTCTGATCGATCGCCTCCACTGAATGTTTCCAAACCTCTGGTGGTCCTCCATGCATAATGTAGCATCAAAGTTCATGACAGGATATACAAGAAACTTGCATTTGTTTATGGACCA